GTGTCGGATGCACAAGGAAGAAATCAAGTGGCAAATCAGGCCGAATAAATTCCTGCCAGACTCTCAGGATCTCTTCAGACCAACGTGTGAAATCTTCATGGAGGCCTGCTACCCGAGCAAGGTGGCATTCTGGCATTCGGGCAACGTCCAGGAACCACACGGCAACAAATGCTCGTCTCTCCATTCGACCAGGGCCCAGAGTAGCAACTGGGTCCCACAGCTGAAAAAGATCCTGGATAAACCGTTCTTGCTCATGGATTGCGGGCAGTTGTTCATGTTGAGTCTCCTCAATGGGCGCATGGGGACCCAAATCAGTGTCAATTGGCTCACCTTCCAGCTTGCAACCAATTGGTGTGGAAGGTTGGATAGAAATTTGATGCAAGACCAAATCATCCATCTCAGCCGCCTCTGTGATTTGGTTGCTACCCATTGGCGGGATGTACAATACAATACTCATGGCAGCTTCAAGTCTTGTGCGCGGCACAAGTGGCAAACGCTGATGGCCAATCCACGCTGTGCATCTACGGGTTTCACACACATGAGTCAAAGCCAGTGCATCAATCACATCAATGTAGTCCACCCAGCGTTGAACTGAGGCCGCTCTTTGAATGAGGTGATTGGCATTGTCAGCTACTGCAAAAGCCGTGAGCACTGCGGCAACTTGGCTAGGGATCGGTTGTTGTTCCAGGATGATATGTGCGACAAAGGATTGCAAATCACTTTCAGGCGGATGCGGATGGACGAAATGGATTGAAATGGCAGCTCCAGGTTGCAAACGATCCTGCCAGGCTGTGCAAACATCATGGTACCACCATGCACGAAAGGTATCAAACTTAATGGCACGGGGAAAGTCACAAACCGGCTGTGTCAGGTGGTTAATGTACCATGATTGCACATAGATGACTCTACCTTCCTCCAGGAACTCAACCGCCCCAAATTGATCGATCAGGTTTTGAAGTGTCTCCTGCCAACCATTAATACTATCAGGCGGAAAATGGGACACATCTGGTCGGCCATGCTGATCCGCGAAGGGGTCCGTCAATTGGGCACGCCCTCGTCGACAGCAATTACCATGTTGGAGGCCTTCAGCAAACCTATCAACACCATTGGGGGACCCAATCATGTGATCCGAAGAACGGCTGACTTCAGGACCAGCAGCCGGTTCAGATTCATCACAATCATCCACTTCCCAGGGATTCTCTTGAGCAATTGCAATGGCTCTCAATGTGGGGATTCGAGAATCATCCGGAGGTGGGACCGCAACACGTACGTACGTGGCTGGTTCAAGTTCTAAAGGGGCTTGATTGGGCCACAGCTGATGGTCACGATGGACCAAACAACGATCTTGCTGTCCAACGCAGTAGCGATCAACATCGGCATACATGAGGATGTGCTGGCGCAAGACAAATTGCACAACTCTGATAACCTTCCTGGTAGTGTCTGGTGGAGGCGGCACAGCTTGCGGGTGATTTGGAAAATGAATCTCAACATCAAGTAGAATCAATCTCTCCGCAGACCCTGGCGGCAAATCACCTACACATTGAAGGATGACAGATGTGGTCCTCGGGCAATCACCTGTTGGAGTAACCCGCAAGAAATGTAACGCCACAACATGATGCAGAGGTATACCTAGAAAAGCGGCAATTTCAGCTGTTGCAATTTCAATGGTATTGGCCCTGACATACATATGGGTTGAATCATGATTGAGGCGATGCACCAAAAACGGGCTTCGATGTATCTCATCTGGATCAATTGCCAACGCAGTATCTTCAAAATCCTGGGAAGGGGAGTAACCAGAACTACCCTCATTCTGTTCCTCAAACCCGTCAGCTGACATGTGACAATCCATGTTGTCTGCTTCAACAAGAACATCACTCGACAATGGGGGGTTTGAGACATTGTTGTGATCATTCTCATTCACAAAGACAACAAAGGAGTCACCGGCCCTGGTTTGATGAAGGGCCGCATCATTGAGAGGTAATGTGTTCCAGCCGTAATGGAGCGTGCAGTCACCAATGTCGCAAAAATGGGTGAAATCAAACTGATGCAAAAGCCTAGATCCCGACAGCAGTGGGGGCAATGAGGCAGCAACACAAAATTGTCGATCACCTTGGGGATCATTGGCAAACCGAACAACTCCAAGGCCAGGCAAATGATCAGACCCCAAACCTTGCGATAAGATCAAGTCAATTGCAATATGTCGATCCCTCCAAGGCCGTGGTGGCGGTGGGTTGACGATATGCACTACAAATGCATCACCTGGTGAAATTCTATCATGCCAGGCATTCCAAATTTGCTGAAGCCAAGTGGTCGCATCTCCTACCAACTGAATCATGCGAAAGATTTCACAACGTGGAGCAGTGTGATGGTGCACAAACCAAGTTCGAGTGGTGACCCCCAAGTCCCAATCGTTGTGAACAGGTATCATCACTTCATCAGTACGCTCCAAAATTTGACGTGCAAAATCTGGCAAAGGCTCAGGCGGTCCAACTGGTTGGATGAAGCCCCGTTGGTCATTTTCAGCATTCTCTGACACAAGATTCGGTCTGGCGATATGGTGGTCAATGATTCGATGTTGCACAGGAACGAGATGGCTCAGCGGCATGGGTAAAGAGGAAACTTTACACTCATTCGCGATCACATCAAGCCTCCAAGCAACAAAATCAGACAAATTGATGGACTGTTGAGTAGGCCTGTATGCCCATGGTTTGTTGCGCCATGAGTCAAATTGATCAATTTTCAAAACCGCTTTCACTATAGGTTTATCGGACCTACCTGAAAATGCGATCTCCACCTCATCGGCAAAATGCACAAGCTGTGGGAACTTCAGCGAGGGAGATCCAGAACAAAATTCAGAGCTGGTCGATTTCAAAATGGAACCAGGCTTCGTCGCAAGCGGTCTGCATTGATCAGGCATCCCAAAACGAAGCTTGCAAGGGATCTGGGCCAAAGAAGCGGTCTGACCGATTGAGGCAAACCCAACCTCAAAAGCAAGGTACAAAGCTTCTGCTTCAGCGGCCCAAGTGGATTTGTAGTTCCACTCATCAAAAATTGAATGAAGCCACGACTGCACGTGAACCGGCGCAGTTGGGGCGCATGCCTCGGGCACAACACTAGGGCACATTATTGTCGCACCTAGTTGGCCCCACCAAAAGGCTCTAAGGCCTTGCTTCCAGGCCCAGAGCCCATAGGAGCATCTGCTGGCCCTGGAACTGCTTCGATCCGAGGCCGCTTGGCTGCATGCTCTTGGGCAGCTAGAGCTTGTGCTGCTGAATGCAGTGAGGCAAGGGTCGTACTGAGGTGCTGCATGCCTTCTGTGATCTGCTGCGAGCTCACCGTGGAGACCTCCTTGCTCTCTGTCTCTTCGTCGCTGATAGGTGTCACCTCTGAACTGGAGGCCAATCCTATCTTCTGCTTCTCTCGATCCAGAAGTTCGCAAGCTTTCTGATAGGTGGCCTGCGCTGCATGGATCCTGTCCACAGCTGCACGTTCTTGTGCTGCAAATTGATCTGCAAACTCTTTCCATTGTTGCATTGAGGCACTGAGAAATGCAATCCAGGAAGAATGTATTTGACCTCTTGCCTGATGAGCGGCTGCAAGATCTTGTTTTGCATCGCTGTGATGATCGACTGCGTTGTGCATGTGCTTTCGCTCCACTTGCACTTCCTCGACCTTCATTTCCTGCATCTTCGCCTGGATATCCGGCGTGAGCTGGTCTTGTCTTTTGTCGAGGAGGGAGAACAGCTCCTTCATTTTGACGGGGTCGATCATAGGAGCAGCTGGCGGCGGTGGTGGAGGGGCAGCTGTTGAAGCTGCCATCGGCATCATTTGCATCCATGAGGAGGCTTTGGGCACAGCAGGTGCTGACGGGAACTGGTTGCCACCTGCGTCCACTAAAGGAGCTGCCTTGCCTTTCCCATGGGATTGATTCCATTGACCTTTGCCTTTTCCACCACGTCCACGGCTCTGTGCTCTCGGCTGGTTTTGAAATCTTTGCCTCAGAGATTGTGTTCTCTTCCTCGGCGATCTCTCCCATTGTTGATAATCCCAAGGTTCGCTGAAGGACTGGTCCGGAACATAGGAATAACCTTGTCTTCGCGGAGACTTGGGCGCTAAATTCCTTGGATCGACAAACTGTCGATCGATTACTTCCTGCCAGGGCCGACTGCACTTGGGGCAGTAATTGGCTCTGAACTTGTTGATCTTCCTGCAGCTGGAGCATTTCCACGATTCCTTTTCCGGCGGGATCATATTGGCCATAGCTGCTCTGACTCGGGAAATCAACAAAGGGTCTCTGGAGTGATGGGCACTCAGGACTCTCACAATCCGCTTGAGGCCAGCAAGATGGAGAATACGGTGTCCAGAACGATGAAGATGCCAATGCCACCGTGCGACTGCACGTTGTCTTCGCAACGCTCGCCTCTTGGTGGCAGTCACCGTCGTGCGCAAATCCGAGAAAATTCACCAATGCAAATGTCCAAATAATGAGAATGAAAAACCTTGGCAAAGGGAACATGCACAAGGATTGAACTCAAATGAATTGTCCGGTGAAATAAAGGCCACCGCAGAACCTGTAGGTCTTGCCGGTCGAAACAAAAATCCGCAAGGGGAAAAATCAACCCAAATACGAATCAGTGTTCGGCACACTGCAGAGCCAGGGAATAAATTGCAAGCGTCAATGACAGTTCCAAAACCAGATGTAAACACCGAGGAAAATCACCCGGTGCAACCAGTGTTCGGCACACTGCAGAGCCAGCAAAATAAGAATCCCAATGAAAAAAGTGTACCAAATGGGCTGAGCGAACAGCAGCCAAATGTCACCAAAATAAGGCACCGACGCAAATTGCGTGCCCGCGGGTCAGTGAGGCGAACCCGCTAAGGCTTCAGAAGGATCAGCTGGAAAAAGGGGCTTGATCCGAAACCTTAACATAAATACCATATAGTAAATACAATTTTTACAGGTGTATCCACTTGATATTTCCAGCATTTTGGATTCTGAGGTGTCCTCCCGTCTGGCAGCACTTTCTCACCCAGCTCACGGAGGCGGAGACGTTGCTACGCCACGGCCAGGCTGCAACGGCGCGAGAACTCCTCGGCCACTGGGCACGAACCCAACATGGCCCTCCGGTAGCCGGAAACATGGCCAAAATCCACGATACCCTCTGGTAAACTAACATAACTATGGAAAATCCCCATTTTTATTAGGTAAACCATCTATAAATGGTGATTTTCCATGGCTATGTTAAATAACCAGATGGTATATCAAAAAATAAGGGAACATGTAGGTTTTCCCATGGAAAATCCATGCTATAAATCTGATGATCCTCCAGGAGATTAAAATAGGCCACATTCCCAGGGCACAGATCATCTATCATCATCGTGCAATTTGCGTCTTAGCTTTCATATATATATATAATTATACGTGTATATATATATATATATAGTTATATAGTGTTTACATATTATAAGATATTATAACTTCTAACTCATGCAGATAGAACATGATAGAACATCTTTTCCTGAAATTCCAAAGGTATTCCCATTTTCTCAGGGCATTTTGGACAGGTCATGCCATGGCCATTTCTCCCTACTTCAGATTGGCATGTCATACCTACCTGGAGGATCACCCAGTAATATTTAGTGGTTCACAACAGGCTTCACCTACTTATAACATCTTCTAACTGGGAGAACCATGGAAAACCAGAGACATTTTGTAGGGACTTACTAACATGAATCACTACTTCTGGTTTAAGAACACCAGGATAATTAACCAGGTTTGTGAACATTTCATGAACATAGTAACCATGGAAAACCATGGAAAACCATAGGTTGATTATGGTTTCTTGACATTTCTTAACCACTTTTTGACCATTTCACCACAACTCATGGCCTGAAAGTCCCAGGTGATGCCCTCACGGATGCCCTTGGCCCTGGCAGTGGCGATGCGCCGAAACTGCGAAGGGCACTGACGGAGTGCGCTGCGCCTGGACTTGGAAGGTGGTTGTAGGTGGTGTCCTACAGTGGTTTATAGTTATACATTATGGTTTATAGCTATACCCTACTATGGTTTATACCTACTATGGTTTATAGTTATACATTATGGTTTATACCCTACTATGGTTTTAGTTAACAATGATGATTTAGAGGGATATAACCATACCTACTATGTCCATGAATAAAATCCTACAATGGTTTATAGCCTCCGGTAATTTGTTACATTTATGGATGATGTTCCAATTTGAATTTCCATTGCCAGGTTTGAGGACTGGAGGGTATGTCTAACTACCCTCTGGTAATGACTGTGACAATTTGCTATTGAAAATGGTGATTTAGTTCGTGGATTTACCCATTAATAGCATGGTGATTTTCCATAGTTATGTTAGTTGATGGATATTCATGGGATATATCGATGGTTAATCATGGATACTCATGGTCAATAGTACGACATAGCCAACAACCATGGATAAATAATGGATAAATGGTACTACAATACCATTATATTTCCCAATGGTTTATACCCTCTGGTAATTTGTTACATAGCTATGGAAAATCATCATTTTCAATGGGTAAATCCACTATAATTGGCCGTTTTCAATAGCTATGTTTGTTTACCAGAGGGTAATGGGAAATATCATGCTATTGTCGTACCACAATGGCATTGTAACATGCTTTATCATGGTGTTTTGGTTGTATACATATATATATATTTATTTATATATATATATATTTATATACATATCTGGGCAAATTTAATCACGAACTCACTGTTCTCCCGAACCCTGGAATCATGGTTAATAAGGGAAATCATCCCCCAAGATAGCCTTATTTCAGGTTACTTATAAAAGTATTATATTTTGGCCAGATATATGTATGTAAATATGCATATATATACCCTAGGGATCCACGACCTTTAAAACAAAGGTGGTTAGAATATCTCCTTTGTTTGCTGTGAACAACCTTTCTTTGCACCTGCAGGGTAAGTATGACCTGCATGGATATGAATCAGTGATGGTGGAAGCCATTTTGGCTTAGGTTGGTTGCAATGGGGTGCAACCAACCAATAACTAAGAATGAATCACTGCCAACATGGCGCATAGTGTGTATCGAATATATATCATACTGATTGTGGTGGAGGTAAGCCACCTGATAGATGGAAACCTGAATAGTTTCCTCGGGTCATCAACCCAAAAGATGTTCTAGACTTCCCAACTACCTGTGGTGACAAAAGCAATGATGGCTCTTTTGATCTGGGAATGATGCCATGGCACTATGAAGCGAGCACTAGCTCTCGGTCTGGTCCTCAACTACTATGGGGGTACATGGTAGGGGAGTCCCTTTGGCATCACTTTTCAAGCCCCCAGTTTTGGGCCCCCACCGGCCATGTTTTGTCACACTATCTTCCAGTTGTGCAGTTTGAGAAAATTGGCATGGAAGCTGTCCAGACGGCATGGCTTCTGCAGCTAGCACTGCTCACAGCTCGTCGCAGAAAACACAATTTGACTATATATATCTATAGCCATGTCGTCTGCCGCCGCTGGTATGGAAAGGGATGCTGCGGAAGGTGCTGCTGTAGCCCATGTGCCCGGGATGGATGACCGTATAGCTGCTTTGAAAGCTGAAAGGCAGGCCTTGAAACGCCAGCTGCAGCAAACCAGTCGAGAAGTCAAGGCCCAGGCTGGTTCAATTTCATCCTTGTGTGCCATGTTTGTGTTGGTGAAGCTGTATTGACATTCCATCGTGCCACTTGCACCTTCATCTTTCCCATCTCAGGTTTTTTTTGGTGAAGCTGCATTGCACCTGCATCGCACCACTTGTACTTTCAATCTTTTTGTTTCAGCTCTGCGCCAGGAGAAAAAACGACGCAGAGTCTTGAAATCGGCGGGCAAACTGAGCACCCAAGACCTCTCGTGGCTCCTGGCCTTCAAAATGACCCGTCAGCAGTAGCAGCTTCTTCAAAACTATATGTCTCACCGAAGCACTTGTGAGTCAGCAGCAGCTTCCTCAAAACTATATGTTTCACTGAAGCGCTTGAGACTGCTGTCTCTAAAGGAGTCAGACAGGAATGTGGTGAAGTCACACGCGGCAGGTTACCTAACGACTGCTGTCTCCCAAGGCATCAAAAACACGTTTTTGCGTGCTTTGGCACCTGTTTTTGCTGTGGCCCCAAAAAACTACTAAGGATACTTCCAACCATTTTCGCAGACTTTGTATTGGCACGGCAGAGTCACAGCTCATGCACGCATGAAAAACTACTAACCCGTGAAATTGAAATCACAATGGCTTGGACGCAAAACTACTAAGGATTTCTGCCAATTGAAAAGAAATAGAAGAAAGTGTTTCCTTTTTTGTCCATTGAACAATTCCTTAGTAGTTTTGCCACCGAGCCAATACAAAGTTTGAAATTCCCCTTAGTAGTTTTCACACAGAAGCATAGTAGTTTTGCGGCAGAGCCAATATAAAGTTGTGACATCGTGCTTAGTAGTTTCACACCGAAGCATGCTAGTGTTGCAGTGGAGCCAATGCAAAGATTGACATCGCCATTGATCATTGTTAGTTTTCACACACAAACATCATCTTGCAGCTGTGATGTGCCACCTGGAGTGACGGCACATGTGTTTCTTCCTAATTCAAAGGGCCTTTCCGGCCACATGTTGGCCCCCCCCTGCACCCCCCGGAATCAAGGTTGACGAAAATGTCTTGCTGTGAAGACCTGACGCTTTGGAAGTTGGCTGCTGCAGTGATTAACACCAGGAAACAACATTGATCCTGGGGGTGCGGGGGGGGAGCCGCTGCTGTGACCCTATACGTGGGGCCTCGTGCTGTGTGTGCAAAAGGTCTGAATTTGGGGTCGCTAACGGACGCTGATTTCAGCCCTCTTCATTGAGGGCCCTCCTTGTGACAACACAAACCTGCATGATGTGGAGAGATAACCAGCAGTGTTTTTCCATAACAGTGTCATAACACAAACCCACATGATTGGACGGCTCATCATCATTGTTCGGTCTTGCCTGCTCCTCACAGGTCGCCTCTCCTCGATGTTTTTTCCTGGACGCAGCCATATGAATCAAGTCTTGCCGCGCTGACTGCATGCAACAGCAATATAGTTTTTGTTTTTTGCATGAGCCAGACATGAATTTGTATGCTTTGAAATGCCGAGGCCATGCTTTGGCCGCACTCATTAGGTCATCTTCCTTGCTTCCATTCGAATTCAGCTGTATCAGACAGGATTGGTTTGACATGACACGAATGTTTTCAATGAGTCTGCCGACAGATGGTTTTTCTGCGGTCAGTCATGCAGCGTGGTGTGGCCGAAGGCACATCTGATGCCAGGGTGTCAGACTTGAAGGAAGCCTTGGTGCAGAATGGCAAAGCACTGAAAGCGGCTTATCGGCAGAATGCCAAAAAATGGAAAAGGTTGCACTGTGCCGGCCTTGGAGTGGCAGCCCGCAAAACTGTGGTAGCTGTTTACATGCTGTCGAATTGTAACATGGATTTGACTCTCCGCATGGCTTGTGCTTTGACAACGATATCCTATGGCAGCAATGGGTACCCCACGGCAGCTTTGATCCAAGAGATGTTGCTGACGACGCCGCTGCCAAATTTGACCGCTTTGGATGACACAGCTTCACGCAAAGCGCAAGCGTGCCACGAAGCAGCCACGGAGCAGTGGGTCTATGACTGCAATACGAATCATGGTCAAGCACCTTCTGCGATGGACACGTTTTTGAAGTGGGAGGAGGCCTTCCATGGCCAGAAGCTGGACATGGGTGTGCCAAACAAACGCATGGTCAATAAGTGGGTGCAGCGCTGGCGGGGCGTCCGCCGGAAGGTGCTGAAGCAAGTTGTTAGCAGAGACCCCGCTGTACTGCGCGACAAGGCGCGGGCCAGCCAACTTACAACATTTTGTCTTCTTTTTTTGGGTTGGGTGGCTCCATTTTTGGGGCCGGAATGTGGCCCCAAAAATGGGTCCCCCTCATGTTTTATGCCTGTATAAGCCTACTTAATCCCGGTTGGGCGGTCCCATTTTTGGGGCCAGAATCTGGCACCAAAAATAGGCCCCCATTTTCAATCAATTTCTTCCCTCGGAATTATATTTGGGGACCCTATATATAATAAGGCTTTGTCTTTCACTTCCTGCAGCGCTCGAGCAGGTCGGACCATCTGCTATTGCCACAGCAGGTTCGCGGACAGGGAGCTGCTTTTTATAAATCTGGATGAGACTAGCGTCGGCCACACCATGACACCGCCTATTGGATGTGTGGCAAAGCCACGGACAGCAGGGGGCAAACAGCCGCATGCACAGGTGCTGAAGCAACATGTTCGAGGTGCGTGGACTTATGTCAGCGTGATTTGCAACTGCAAGCACATCCAAGGGAAGTTGCCTCATTTTCTCATTGGCACCCAGGTGAAACTCATGAAGAAGCTCTTGCGCGCCCAGCGCGCTTTGCCACAAACTCGTTTGCGTGTTTTGCGGCAAAAGTCCGCTTGGACCTCTGCTGCCAACAGTGCCCAAATTCTCAAAGAGACCGCAGAAGTGTTGAAAAGTTTTCCGTCAAAACAAGGCGTTGTACTCCTTGATTGTGCGCCGGCACACCTGCCACGGCAGGTCATGGCAATGGCACGCAAGTGCAAGCTGCAGCTTGTATATATCCCAGCGCAGACAACGGGTTACCTACAGCCGCTTGATCTGCAAGGCTTCTCCCCTTTTAAACAATATTTGAAAAGGAAGCGCCAGGAGTTGCGCTCATATTCAGAGCATGGTTTAGTGCCTCCTCTGGCCTGGCTATGGCAGTGCATGCAAGCCCCACACGAATTTTGGGCAGCTCGGCAATGGCAGAAAAGCTTCGATGCAGTGGGCTGCAATGGCCCAGGTCAAGTGCACAAAGCGCTTCAACACTTGATGGGTGCAGGGGTGCCTTGGCCTGGGCCTGACAGGCCGACACCCCAGCAGATGCAGTGCGTTTGGCCAGCGCGACGCCAAATGGCGCACGCGTATAAGGCTCTTTTTCTTTGATGCTGCCGCTCCGGGTGGATCCAAAAGATTTGCAGACGTGGGTGGCACTATAGGACAAAGATTTTTTTTCCATAATACTATGGGGGTACATGGTACGGGAGTCCCTTTGGCATCACTTTTCAAGCCCCCAGTTTTGGGCCCCCACCGGCCATGTTTTGTCACACTATCTTCCAGTTGTGCAGTTTGAGAAAATTGGCATGGAAGCTGTCCAGACGGCATGGCTTCTGCAGCTAGCACTGCTCACAGCTCGTCGCAGAAAACACAATTTGACTATATATATCTATAGCCATGTCGTCTGCCGCCGCTGGTATGGAAAGGGATGCTGCGGAAGGTGCTGCTGTAGCCCATGTGCCCGGGATGGATGACCGTATAGCTGCTTTGAAAGCTGAAAGGCAGGCCTTGAAACGCCAGCTGCAGCAAACCAGTCGAGAAGTCAAGGCCCAGGCTGGTTCAATTTCATCCTTGTGTGCCATGTTTGTGTTGGTGAAGCTGTATTGACATTCCATCGTGCCACTTGCACCTTCATCTTTCCCATCTCAGGTTTTTTTTGGTGAAGCTGCATTGCACCTGCATCGCACCACTTGTACTTTCAATCTTTTTGTTTCAGCTCTGCGCCAGGAGAAAAAACGACGCAGAGTCTTGAAATCGGCGGGCAAACTGAGCACCCAAGACCTCTCGTGGCTCCTGGCCTTCAAAATGACCCGTCAGCAGTAGCAGCTTCTTCAAAACTATATGTCTCACCGAAGCACTTGTGACTGCTGTCTCCCGAGGAGTCAGCAGCAGCTTCCTCAAAACTATATGTTTCACTGAAGCGCTTGAGACTGCTGTCTCTAAAGGAGTCAGACAGGAATGTGGTGAAGTCACACGCGGCAGGTTACCTAACGACTGCTGTCTCCCAAGGCATCAAAAACACGTTTTTGCGTGCTTTGGCACCTGTTTTTGCTGTGGCCCCAAAAAACTACTAAGGATACTTCCAACCATTTTCGCAGACTTTGTATTGGCACGGCAGAGTCACAGCTCATGCACGCATGAAAAACTACTAACCCGTGAAATTGAAATCACAATGGCTTGGACGCAAAACTACTAAGGATTTCTGCCAATTGAAAAGAAATAGAAGAAAGTGTTTCCTTTTTTGTCCATTGAACAATTCCTTAGTAGTTTTGCCACCGAGCCAATACAAAGTTTGAAATTCCCCTTAGTAGTTTTCACACAGAAGCATAGTAGTTTTGCGGCAGAGCCAATATAAAGTTGTGACATCGTGCTTAGTAGTTTCACACCGAAGCATGCTAGTGTTGCAGTGGAGCCAATGCAAAGATTGACATCGCCATTGATCATTGTTAGTTTTCACACACAAACATCACGCGGTCTTGCAGCTGTGATGTGCCACCTGGAGTGACGGCACATGTGTTTCTTCCTAATTCAAAGGGCCTTTCCGGCCACATGTTGGCCCCCCCCTGCACCCCCCGGAATCAAGGTTGACGAAAATGTCTTGCTGTGAAGACCTGACGCTTTGGAAGATGGCTGCTGCAGTGATTAACACCAGGAAACAACATTGATCCTGGGGGTGCGGGGGGGGAGCCGCTGCTTTGACCCTATACGTGGGGCCTCGTGCTGTGTGTGCAAAAGGTCTGAATTTGGGGTCGCTAACGGACGCTGTTTTCAGCCCTCTTCATTGAGGGCCCTCCTTGTACTTGAATTCAACCTCAATGTGTGAAATGTACTTTGACTGTACCTGTATGGGTTGAATTCAAGTAGTTGGGCCTTTCCTCCCAGGTTGTATGGAGCGTCTTTCTGGAGAAGACATCATCCACCTCGATGAGTTTTTGGGTGCCTCCCATCCCTGCCTACACACCCACCTACTTGCTGGCTGTTGTTTTGCCAAAGCTTGCATGGGTCACCATCATTCATGATTCATCCCATCAATTTGGCTTAAGGGGGATGTACGCCAACGGCCTGACATGAAAGCAAATAAAGGACACAATACATGCATGTATTGCATTATTTGTATGTGGATGGGGGGTGTGCCGATCATGACTGATGTGGAGCCATGGATGTTCACACCTAAGCGGCTGAATGCCAAAACTGTGGCATTGCTCAAGGAGAAAAAAAACATGTCCATATCATTTTGTTGAGGTCGTGGATCCCCAGGGTTTTCAGATCGCTATATACAGCATGCATGCAACGTATGTGAACGGATGAGAAGTACTACAACGATATAATCCTCATTGGTGAGAGTGTTTTTTTAATCACATGCAGATGATAAGTTTAATACCATAATTGAATTAATGCGCTGTTTCCAAATCAATTCCCTTACATGGGGCTGGTTCGAGTTTCCATGATTCTGCTGTCAGGAGTGGCTGAAGAGTATGTGTGAGGATGATGGCTTCATTGCCGCAAGGCGCAAGGTTCTACGTCTGCGTGCTGGGTTGAGTGACAAAGACTACAAGGTAGTCCTTGGCCTAGTTACCTAGAAGATCAAACACATTTCCTAATGGTGAAATATGTGCTATTTTCTGGAACTTAGCATTTTTCCATTTTTGATCAACATCATGAGGTGCCCAAGTTCCGGTTCATCATTTTGGAGGGGCCGCGCGCTGTCATCTCAGAGCGTGAGGCCATATCAAAGATCAATCCATTTGTGTGCCTTTCTGATCATTGAAATCACTTCAAGATTAGAAATCAAACAGAGTTGGTGTGAACTGCTGTTGGTAGATCACGCATGTGATGTCTGGTTTGGGGGTTCATTTTGGAGGTTGTGAGCGACCACAACTACGAACTCAACCTGTCGTATCTTGCTAGCTTTGCAAACAACCTTCCCCGTCGGAAGGAACTTGAGGTGGGGTCTCTAGATTTCGTTCCCAATCTTCCAAGGGATTTTTCTTTTCTTTCTTTCTTTTCCGAACATTTCTTTGTGGACTGCAACTGCCAGGTCAGCTTGGCTTGGGCATCAAGCCATTATAAGCTTAACCCATGGCGACGTTATGAGCAGCACCAGGCAGGATACTGGCCAACCCGTGGGTGCCAACAGGATTGTAAGATCTATCAAATGATGTTTTTTTTCCAGTTTAGGTGTGCGTACCACGTATACTAAAGTGATAGCCACACATGTTGATTATATGTTGCTGATATCTGATTCAATCATTATTATTCATTTGCATATGTAATTTAAAATATATCAAATCCAAGCAGGTATTGTGTTGGTTCCCCTAAGTTAGAAATTGCTGGACACATCAGTTGCCCAGGCATGGGCAATTGTTGAAGCCGGAACCATCATGGGTTCGGCATCATGGTCGATGGAAAGATTTCAACGCAACAAATCTGCCAGGCCAGGTTCCCACATTTTCGCACATCTGCCAGTCAGAATCTGCGAAAATGGCATAGAGTCACTAGTATGTCCATGGCCTTGAAATCTGAACTGCACTTGTTAGCCAACCAACGTTTGTAATTGAGATATTATCCATTCACAAATTCCATTAGTGTCCAACTTTGATATCAGGCCTGGACATGAGCGAACTGAGACGTTGAAGGCTGTGATACGGCAGAAGTTGGAGGACTGGTTCTAAGTCTTCACTTGCATGTTCTTTGGGATTTGGTTCATAAATCAATGTTATATCAGTGGTATAATCATAGTCGTGGGTGCTTGTCTTCCTCTCATGAATCCATTAGATCGATGTACAACCACATTTCACACATTTTTTAATTTATATATGGACCGATCGATCAATCAATTAAGATAGTGAACAACTTTGAGATTTGTGTTATGAGTAATGTTTGCATGCATGGCCCAGGAACACGATATGCTCACGCCAGAAGGCAAAAAAAAGCCGCAGCGAGGTCGAGGCATGAGCAAGAAGCCAGAGCAGAAGGAGAAGGTGGGCTTGGGTAGGTAATCATATCAAGATATGACTGGGGTTTGGGGAATTGCCAATTGAAAAAAAATATGATATATATATTATATAATATTATAAGTGTGGCAGGGTTTTCTGAAATGCTTGAGGGTGTTTTTGGACTGTATTTTATGCCTGAGCGTGTGAAGAAGTGATTCTGTTCCACAATTTTTGGACCTGCTTCATTCACCCATTAGGCCCACTTTGATAGGATGCAGGTCAAACAGAATTATCAAAAAATCGCTGTGGGCAGGAGAAGATGCCAGGAGAGAACCCAGATGAAGCAGAAACACTGCCAATGCCAGACACAGTTTCTCCCCCGTCAGCTTCCCCGCAGCAAGTATCACCTTTCATCGAATCCCAGTGGAGGTTGGGAAGGGGAAATTCGACATCCAATTTGGGTGACTGGGACTGGCTGGAAACTGCCGAAGCCAACACTGCTCCCGAGACTGACATGACTGATGAAGATGAGCATGATGAAACCCCAGAAGAAGAGTGTCTGACAGAAGATGACATGGTTGAACCCTTGGAGCTGGAAACCTTATACCAAGACAATGAGACCTTGCAGATCCTGTCAGATGATGAATGTGTGATGAGCCCGTCGAAACCTCGCCCACCAATGGAGTCCAAAGACGACGCCATGGAGCCCAAATTAGAGAACAACAAACAGAATGATGGGCAGGAGCAGAACAGGTACAAGGAGCAAAATGAGCAGACAGAACAGAAGAGCAAGACTGATTCTGTCCCCAAGTCGTTGAACGGGAAGTCTGTTGATAGTCTGGAAAAACTTCAACCGGAAAAAGTTGTGGATTTCAAGCCAAACAAAAATGATGAGAACAAGGCTGACCCCCCCCAGGAGGAAACCAAACCTTCTGTAGATGCGTGTGCCCAACAAGAACTTGAGGAAGCAAGGGTCGCAGAGGAAGTAGAGGATGAAGTGAAAAGTGATGAAGGAGATGCTGATGGGAAACCAGGAGCATCAGGAAAAGGAACATTCAAGGCAGGATCAATGATGTTATTTTTGCATGTTACATGATGTGACCATGTAAAATTATCAAACATCATAATGATAGATCGATTTAAAGGGAGATGTGGTCACAAAACATGTTCCAATTTATATATCGACTACCCTTGACCTGCAGGATCGAAAATCCCTCGGTGAACTTCCCGAGAAGAAAGAGAAGCTTTGGAAAGAAGTGGACGAGAGTTTGGAAGTACTGGAGAAAGATGAAGAACATCATGAGAAAGAATTTCTGAAGGCAACATCGATTGTCATACTTGTGCTCTGGTGTCTATGAATCTCATGTTGCAATCATAACTATATTATTCACTATCTGGAGGATGATCGATGAGACTGTACTTGTTATTTTGTTGTCTTAGCAATTGTGTGTGTGAGAGCCATGGTAGCATCTTTTTTCAACTCATATTCCTTGTTTCAAATTGACATGGGTTTTCTTGTCCTTTTCCACACATTCCAGGCACAGCTGGCACTCCGCCAGATGCAAAAGGAGGCAGACGGAGAGTACGAGGACCCTGACCGTCAGTATCTTGAGGATGACGAAGAGCCACGAAAAAAAGGAAAGGGAAGGGGGCGGGGAAGAGGTGGAAAAGGCCGTGGACGAGGTCGTGGTAAATCCAAACCAGCATCTCATGGGGCAGCTAAAGTTGATCTTGCCCCAGGTTCCACTGCTGACATTGCTGGAGAGGTTGAACCAGCTGTTGCGGTTGAAGATGCTGACAATAACACAGGAGACAAGACTGAGACTGAGCCTGAGAACCCCCCCAAAAGAGCAAAGACAGAATCAAAGGCAAAAAAAAAGAAGAGGGAAATGCCTCGAAGAAGAGGGTCCGTACTAAAAGCCCATCAGCAAAAGAAGCAGAAACCACAAAGAAGCTTGCCATGGAGAGCAAAGAGATTCAGGAAACAAAGAATGTTGAGGACTGTATTGAAGCTGTTGTGAATCCCATTTGATCGATACATGAATTCAACCAGTTCTGTGTTTGTTGCTTAGATTATCCTGTAAAACATATGTTTTCGGATGAGACAACCCTTAAAAATCATATATTCTCGATATCCCAGGAGCCACAGGAGGAGAAAGAACCAGATCAACAGGAACCTGATCGAAAAGGAGTTTCGGCTGGCTCAGACGAAAAACCTGTTGCACCAGCTGATGTGGAAAACAATGAAGGGAACGACAAGCAGGATGAGAAGGCAAAAGCAAAGCATGCGCTAGAGATCAAGCAAGCACAAGTACGCCTACCTGGGGATGGAAGGGTGGAGAAAGTTATCAAATTAGTATTATATACATATCGTTGATGATACACCGCTTTAACTGTTCCAGCATGTGCACATGCACTGTTCATGGACAAGTGCGATTACTGGTTTTCGACCATATTTGAATTGAAATATAATATAAGAGCATGTTATATTTGTACTGTGCTACATGGTTAATCAATATAACAATCAAAGACTTCCTTTGGGCACAAGTAAAGTAGCATTAGTATAAATTATAAATATGTGTTAGAAAGTTGATCGATCGATCTACAAATTGAAGAAAATGAATCCTTTTGCATATAGTGTGTAGAAGATCATGGGACCAAATACCTCTTGTGGATCTACCAACTTATATGTGCCTGCCATGCATGGCATTTCTCATATTGCTGCATTCGGAGGCCAGATGTGAAAACCTGGTGATGTTGAAGGCTGCTGTTGATGATCCAGATTTGCGCTTTCCCCCGGTTGGGCTCCTTGATCAGAAGTACCTTCCTCAGCTGTTGTGTCCATCCCACATTCGTTAACTAGGCTTTTAGGGTGTGATCAAACATGAGCATCGCAATACGTTTGCATTCACACTGATTGGGAATCAATCTATCAAACACTCTTTACAAATTGACGTGACCCCAAATGCAAAACAATGCTTCTATCTAGGAAAGCAGTATGGTGGATAGCCTTCTAAATTGATGCAAACAAAACATATATTGATTATTAATATATATATATATATATATATATAATATTTTATATTATTATATAATAATATATTATAAATATTATTATATCAATAATATATGTAAAATTATAATATAATTAATATATATATATAATTTATAATTTATATTATATCAATAATATATTATGTTGTACATTGTTATACCTTGAAAATTATCAACTTTCAGCCATCAACTGCCATCAATGGATCATCCAAAACACTAACGGCTCTTAGGTCCTGGACTATGGTGCCACCAGAGGATGTGAAGAGTGAATGCCGCATCCAAGTTCTGCTTGAGACCCAGACTTTATCATTGGGACAATCACTTGCTTGTATCTGACACCTGGAATTTGACATGCCTTATTATATCTTGATAATGTCATAATTTATGCGATGCCTTGATAACATCACCATTCCTGAAAAACATATATTTGATTGCAAATGCAATCTCCTGTATGCAGCACCGGTGCAATTTCAACTATAAAATTTGTTTCGTTCTTTAGCCCAAAAATCACAAGTGATACGTCATATACATATTATACAGATCAGCCTAGGTTGACGCAGTCACGCTCTACCTGTGGAGCGTTCTACGTCAAGGATGTGGAGTCCGAAACTGTTAAGAAGATTGCTGAAGTGACTGGAATTACCGACGTACAGGCACACCTGATATGATGACAAGTCATACAACAAATAACATACCTTGTCAAATTTCATTTGGGAATGTCTTTGCAAAAAAACATGTAACAAATCACTGATGTGAAAACATGGTGTGGTCTGGTGATTTTTTTTTGATCCAACATGATTGATGATTCTCTTGATTGGGGTTGACCAAAATATCAAACCAAATTCATAATAATTAGTTGGACTTTCGGAACTAGCTCCTGCTAGCTGCTCTTTCGTGCCAGATCAACAAGCAGAGCGGTGTGAGCGTTTCTTGGAACAAACGTGGTGGACCCAAGCTTGCGCTGGAGACCCAGATGTTTGTGGGATCATATCATCGTCAAAACATGGAGGTTTTTACATCAATGGAGAACATGGAATATCCCACATGTGTTTTTATGAAAGTATCAGAAGTCTCACTGTGCCTGATTGTTCAAAAGACCAATTGGTTGATCACTGCAACTTCAAGGCTTACCAGGTTGAGGACCCTACCTATTTAACCAAGAAACCAGTAAATTAATACATGTCATATGATCTGTGTTGTTGAGGTGGGAACTTGCCAAGATGTACGCCATGTGGATTCCGCCTGCTGCCCTTGGCCCGCAGCCCTAAGACTTTTGATGTGGGTGCAGTGAATATCACTGTCTCTTTTCAGTACCAGATATGTGGCATGATGTGTGGGAACATGTTCTGGCATATCAAAACATATCTTATTTTTTGGAATTTCCATTGCCCACTTGTTTTTAATTTGCCAAAGTTGAGATCATACAATGCCACTTACTTGCCTTTTGGGCACAGCATTAGAGCTAACATGTCCCCTCGACGTAGACTGGCTTGTTGGGTGCAAACAACATGTTCAATGATCAATATTTTTTCGGTTCACCAGTATGGGAGCACTTCAGTCATGAGTAAAAATCTGGGTCATAGTGTTTTGTGAAACTGCAGAACCAGCAGCCAACAGTTCAGGGAGACATCATACATCAGACATGCAATTGTCTCAATCTCGTAGGCTATCACCAACATCGTGGGGCGGTGAAAATTGAGAGATGCCTTTGCTGCCTAAAGGATGCTGTGTAAATCAATCCGATTGCTGGTGAAATGTACACAACAGCTGCACTGTGATACAAGCCAGGTTAGGCATATGAAAACAGGGAACCACAATTTGAATCCACAGAGTTTGCAACAATTGTCCATGGACTCAATGAAGTGTGATCATTTTTAGGGTGTTAGGGTGCGACATCCTCACCACTATAGGTGTACAACAGATTGATTCTTACATGTGCAGCTTTGAAACTTCATCGATCTTGTAGTTGATGTTATGATGATTTGTGATCTAGGCATCACTTTCCCTGAACTGCTGGGAACGAAGAAGGTGGCTCAGTGAACTCTCGACTCCACCTCGTTTCCTTAGTGTGGCGGCTTGATGGCTCCCCGGGTTCGGCCATCATGGACCAGTTCACCCTTGGCTCTATCCTGTCGAGCATCAAATCTGTTGTTGATGTGGGGCCTACCGCTTGTAGTGTTACTTCGATGCATGTTAGGTCCATTGTAAATCAAAACTGATTTGCTCAACAAGTTTTGGTTGATCAAATTCATTGGGCAGAATGAATATGATGTATATGTTACTTATTTTGTTTTAAAATATCATATGATCGATCTTTCTGAACTGACTCAGGCTACATTTGGTGGACTTCATCGCCCAGAACGCAGAAAGTTATGACCAATACCGGGTCTGGATCTTGGAGCCTACATCAGCCTAGCAACACTGCAGAATCTTTAGACCAAGCATCAGCTGATGATCAAATTATTGCATTCGGATGCATCAGTGGATGATGATGATGTTGTACTATCTGATCTTCTTTGGTGAAATTTTCCATAGGTGTGATGATTAGGATTTGAATCCAAAAAAGCTCGAGTGCTTGGCCTATTCTTCCTAGGATCTGGATATGGTCGATGCCTTTGCTGGGGCTGCAGCATTGTCGACCATTTACAGTTAGGGACCCAGTGGGAAAAACATATAACGATATGGACAATGACATGCTGCAACAGAGTCATATTTGATTGGCAAGGGAAATGGATAACATAATTTGGTGACTATCCCAGTGATTTGCATGTATCTTGGTCCTCCACCTTCATGAAGGACATTATGCACTTAAAGTTCCTCAAGAAGTAATGCAATATGGATTGTTAATTTTGATTTGTCAAGTATCCAACACATCTTTTTTAAAAAAATCGATGTGTCACCACTTCTTTGTGTCCTAGGGGAGAACAACATGCGGGCGCTTGGCACTCAGTTCTTGTGTGCACACACCACATGGTATATTTGACAGTTGCAGCTATCACTGTTGCAATTCATTGCTGAATATGATATCTGCATGCATGCGATATATTAGTTAAATTGGCATTGGGCCCCATCATTGATGGTGACAAGGGTAAGTCTTATGAGTACAACATTTGTCATGGCACGTGTGCATCATTGGTAGTAGATCAAATTAATATCTTCAACTGATCAATCCATGATTAAAAGAGCTATGATATGGTTTGTGCTAAGTTCAAGCTTCGACCTGAATGATGGTGAAGCTGGAGATATCTTGAACTTGCCGGGGCCCCAAGAAGCTGTCACAATCAACATGCATTCCAGAATTCCAGATCTCAGTTCCCAGGGACGTAAGTGATCGATATTATACTTAGTGAAACATGGTATCGACAGGTCTCACCAGTCCAAAAGTAGCACAGCTTAATTAATCCTGACTATCTTGCATTCGGTGTGTACTTATATTTCCTCTATATGACCTAGAAACATGATCCCCTGCCAGCCCCACAGAAATAATGCAGCTGGTTGGCTGAAACCGACTGGCCAAGGCATGGCTTCTTGAAGATCCTGACGCAAGTGCTACGAATTCGGCCGGGGGGTCTCCTGATTGGAGGCCCCCCGTGCTCTTCATTCGTGTGGGTGAACCAAGCCACAAGCAAACGGACCCGTACTAGACCAATGGGGGACCAAAAACGTCAGTACATCAAAGAAGCGAACACGAATCTTGTCCACATTATTCAACATTGCATTTTTTTCCTCAAGCTGAGCTGAGGTTTACAAAAACATGGTCAGTGGAATACTTTCTGTTGATTTGTATGTCACCAAACATGTGCCCGATCTGGTGAAAACCACTTCAAACATCTTCTGGAGGACCCAAACAAATGTGTTGGATTTGATCTGATATAGATTTCGATGGACAATCTACATGGCCTGATCAGTGTTTATGATCTACACTCTGTCTAATATGTATTTAATATATGTGCCATCAATGCATGCTGATTGTTCAACCAAAATACTTTATCCTGATAGCACTGATAGTTTATCAAGACGACCCATCAACTAGCCCAGGATCACAGTGCGTTGGATCATCCTCGGGTTGATTGCGGCGGCCCGTGGAGTCTACTTCGTTACAGAACAGCCCCGCAGTTCTTTGATGCCTTTGATAGCTTACTTCAGGTATGCAGCCCTTGTGGTACGTCCTTTGAATTGGACTACATCATCTTTGTCAGAGTCTCAGTGTTGAGATTGTTTGGATCAACATGAATTATGATGAATTCCTTTATTGTCAATCTGAGAAAATCGTGTCTAATTTTCTTCATGGCTACATGGATCCAGGGACACTATGGAATACTAAAATTTCAACATGAAAACCATATAAATTTTCAAATCACGATTCTCTACAACCTGCTTTGGTGTCATAATGGTGTCATATTTGTTTGCTGAGTCCCATGGGGGCTTATGGAAGTCCTACACAGAAACCAAGTATCCTTTTTGGGATAGCGCCGACTCCTCAGAATCCCATGCTTTCAGTTCCATTCAGTCCTCCATTTGGTGTTGGTTAATTGCCTCAGCGGTGTGGCACTGAGACCCTGGTTGAAAGATCTTGTCCGCAAGATGACTGAAAAGGACAGGGCCCGGATTAAGAAACACAAGAAGGAAACCAAGAAACCCATGGTGATCAAGCGGATTAACAAAAAGGGAAAAGTCAGTGTGTATCCTGTCCGAATTTGGAAGCTTGATTTCAGCACCGGTGTCATGTGCAATCTTGACAGTGTTTGGTTTAGTGGCAATTTTTACACGAAGGGATATGCTTATTGGAAATCAAATGCGTTCACATACGTTTGATGTCATTTAAACCAATCAAGCCATATTCAACCATTGCGCCAAGGCAAGGTGGCCCAGGGATGAAAGGATCGGCTGAATATCCTCGGAGGTTTGCCAGGAGGGTCCTAGCCCTGCATCGGAAGGTGCACTGGTTGTCAATTCATTTTTAACTATGAAGTGCGATCTTATAGAGAGTCTGGTGATGTAATTGCCAATTGTGTATGACAAAGCTTGATCACTGGCCTTGGTATTTTGATAGCTACCCCCAGTTCAATCCAACTTGACACTATCAACTAGCCTGGCTAAATAATACAGTATATTTCATATATTTAATTATATAATTATTTCAATTCCTTGGTTGATCCCATCAGTGAACCACATGTAGTTCCATCGACACCAATCCCGTGCTCAGGCAGATGCTGCTGGAGCAATGGAAGTGCCACACCACCTGAACATGGTGGTACCGAAGAATAAGGTGAAGGTACCATTGGGAAACATTTGGATTACTCATGTGTGCCTATCATGTACGTCCCTATCAGCTATGAGTGTAATATGACAACCATCTTTGATTTCCTGGGCAGTGTGGTGTGCAACCAAAAACCTGTCTCTTAATCAAACTTGGATTTCCGGTATCCATCATCACCGTTTGAGATAAACAGTGTTGATGGGAAGCAGATCATGGTTGGGGGTACCTGTAAACTACTACTGGGTGATGTATAATATATGCATACTGCAGTTCGTTCTATATTGCATGATTTAAAATATGTGAAACTATATAATAAATATGCGATATTATATAATTATTATCGATCTATATATGCGCATCATAACCTTTTTGAGTTGTGGGGCTCATAGCATTATTAGTGTGTGTTATTCTCTGCCTTTTGCAGGCCCCCTACCGCTGGCGTCATGCTCTTCTAACACCTGTGCGTGACTACCTCAAAAACGAATGGGAACATGGCCGCTACAGCCCTCTCTTGAGTAAGGGCTTGGCTGATGATTACATCTAGGCCAAAAGCCTTGCAAATGAGCCATGATGTAATCTTACATCAGACTCTGGTATGTCATGCTGTTGGATACATGCATGCATGCATGTAAATACAAATTCGGTTTCAAGTGCGTCGCAGGATTGCACAAATCTCTGGGTCCCAAAATTTGTCCATAATCGACATTAATTCAAAATTATATAGTTCACAACCACTTGATAATTGATTTTCCATTGGTGCTTCATTCCTGCTTTTGGGCGCATATTTCACATGCTGATCAGTTGTGGCGTGCTTGCGCCACTAATTTAGCAACAATGCAGCCAAACCAGAATACCCTGGGAGAAAACATTGCGGGTCTCTAGGTGGGCAACTTGTGAAATGGAAGTGAAAAGGAGCATGGTTTTTCTCTGGGCCCGGGGGTAGCGTGAAACATCGTGAAACTAGCGTGAAACTCGCGTGAAACCCCTTGGTTTGGCGTGAACGCACCCCAGAGGGCGTGAACGACAAGTAGCCCAAAATCATTGTTTTTGGGATAGTCATTCTGAATCAGTTTTACCAAAAAACAATCGAAAATATGTGTTTTGGGAGGAATTTGAATAATTATTTGGAAATGGTTGCAATATTGCAATATTGCTGGCAATATTGCAATATTGCAATGTTGCACTATTATAAATTCATAGTGGCAATGTTGCAATATAGACGGTTCAAAATCCTGGGGAGATTTCCCAGTGTTAGTGTGAGGGCTTGGGTGGTCATGGCCAACAATGAAGCTGTTCGCTTAGCACTTGAGAAAGCAGCTCTACGTGCCCAGAGGCACGCAGAGCTGGATGCAGCAATTGCTGTGATGGAACGACTGCTAAATATTGACCTACTTTCTCTGGAGATGCTCCCGTGGGGATGTGCTTTCAGGTATGCAAACCAAAAAACAGAACATCATGTGGTATATGATTACCATTTTACAATTGTGCATATATGCCATGATTGGTGGTTTTGTTACTGAATATTTAACTTGCCATGAAAAATGGACTGGGATCTTTGTTGGATAAAAAAAACTATCTGGGAGTCAGGAAATGGTAATGGATATGACACCCACAAACAACATTATCTTTTTGTCAAACGAACATAGTGTACATGTTGCCTGATATTAAACTGGTGGCTTGTCCGGCCCTGATCAGGTTGGATGCAGACAATCTGTCCAAGCCTGCAGCTGCTTCGAGTGTGATGCCAAAGCCTGGTTCCGGAGGCCGACAGGAAATCAAACTGCCATCACTGGGATAATCCAACAATGGGACTGTTTGGAACTTTTGTATTTTCAGGTGTTAGTGAATGTTCCATCAACCAGAGTCTATTCAACATCGAATCAGATAAGAGTTCGATATGCTTGTGATGTGTTGCCTACTGGTTTCAGACTTCTCAACTGGGGGCAAGAAGTTGAATCTGGGTCAGTAGTTTCTGGCTACACATCTGGCGCACGTGATTATTTTTGTACATGCAGGAAAGAATTTGCGTGATGAATATTAAATGTTGGCTAAACATCTCGGTTTCTCTGTGTGTGTCTGTTCAATTTAGATAATGTGTGAACGTGCATGAATGTGTAAGTAAGTTTGTTTGTGTACTTTTTGATGAGTATATCATATCTCACACTGTAATCATGATTATATGTTATTTATGTTGATTTGTGCACAACATGAACACAGTCCCGTATATTACCAATTAACCACGATTATGTTATTTATTACCCATATAGCATAGACAATATAATCTGGTTTCTTTGTGTTTATTCTACCTCGATCAATTAATTATATTGTAAATTTTTAATGAGCGATAATTAATATTTGTATCCTATACATGTATATGTGCAGCATGATATATGTCATGACATGTTTTGTCCAGTGCCCCATTTGCACAGGACATTCGACAGCTGCGGGCAATCCTGGCAAGTCAGATGCCGTGTCCAGGACCTATGAATTCACCACGCCCCAGGACAAAATTCGTAGGACCCAGTCTGGGCCATCAGTTCAGCAGCAATCTCATGAGAAGACAAGCATGCCATCAAATCACCGGAGACCAGTAGGAAGAGCAGGGAGAACCAAGAAACACAAAAAACATGTGAAAAGACAGATGAAGGCAGACGGTCAGAAGGAAGCTACTGGGAAGACTGCACCAAATGCCCCAGCAGCACAGCCTGGCAATTCCAACGTGCCCCAGACCGCAGAGACTGGTAATCCCCCTGATGGTGGTGCAACCACTGTGGCCAAACCCGCAGAGACTGCTTTGCCTGAAACTGGTGCACCCAAGAATCCACGAAAGACTGCTGCCAAGTCAATGGCAGTCCCAGTAAAGACTGAGGGTGATGATGGGGAAGATACAGAAAGTGATGCAGATGATGAAACCAAGGAGGAACCTGCAGAAACACCTGGCCCGCCAAGTGCAGTCAGGGAGAGGCATGTTGCAACAGCCGCCACTGAGAACCTCAGACGACCAGCCACACAGCAGCAGCTGGCAGCAACACCCCAGCCTGCCCCAGATGCCTCAAACCCAGATCCCTCGCAAGCCAACCCGGCCAATGCACCTGGCCCTGAAGTCACTCCCGAAACTAGTGGAGGTCGTAAGAAGAGACGAGAGAAAACAGCGCAAGAGAAAGCAAACCATGCCCGATATGTGAAGTTCAGCCGCCACATCAAGAGTGCCTAGACTGACCTGTGTGTGTTTGTTTTTCTTTCAGTTGATGTGCATTATTTTTACTGATGTGCCCACATTCTGTGAATTAAGATCGGTGTTGATTTGCAAAGGACACAACTACAAATATGTTGTATTGGAGGATTTTCTGCCTGACACACGTGACATGTTTCGATTTCAATTGCCTGGTTCGGGTGTACTGACTGAAACCTTCGCTGCTGAGATCATTCCCCTCTAGAGATCCAAAAAGCCCACAAGAAGGCCAAGTATTGTACCTTGGCCTTTCTAGGTAGATCTTACTTGGAAATAAATTCAACAAAAACACTGACATGGCTGACTCTACATCTCAAAATCTTGTCACTTGCGCTGGCATCAATCTATGATGATTGTGATTTTCAGCAAGTATGGACATGTATAGCACTGCCAGAGTGAGAATTACTACATGCACATGTGGCATGGATATGTCAGCTAAAATAGCCTGGTGGCTAAGCATGTTTTTAGGTATTATATATTATTATATTTATAATAAATATATTTATTGTCAGAACAAGCTGGTTGTGTTAATACTAGTAGTTGATGATCATTGGTCAACCATAATAGAGGAATCCGAAACATTGTTGGTCATTGAGACTAACATATTACCTAATGAATATTGTACTATGTATATCTTATTTTTACTCATCATGCAAAGGATTCCTTACTTGATTCTGTTGGATATGTTCAAAAAACCCCTTCATGCGCACTCATGCATCAGGCAGCAGCAAATTGCAAGTCCTTCTGGAGGAGTGGGTTGCTACCAATGGCGATTGGAAAAAATCGAAACTTTACCAGAATATGAAGGTGAAGTCTTCTGAGCGACGCCATGGGGCACGAGTTTGGCTTACAAAGCATCAGTTGACGATGAAGTATGGATCAGAACAGATCGCGAACGAGATCATCAAGGCGAAGAGAGACGACCCGCAGATCTTTGAAGAGCAGTCCAAACCACACCCAGACGCGCCGCAGTCTGAGGCCAGGAACTATCATGTTTCTAGCTTGTACCATGCTTTTGGTAACAAGTTGGATTTGAAAATAACAAATGCAAACACTTATACTGGAGATATGCAGATCCATGGCTGGATCAGTTATACTATGGTGCTCGTTTGTTCCACATATTGTACATAAAATCATGATCCAATTCTATACTAGAGAGGGAGAGAGAAATACAAAGAAAAGAAACAGGGAGCTGAAGGAAAGTAAACACTTTAAAGTCGTACTGTTTCAATCGTTTCATGTTTCACGATCTTGTTCATACTAGGAGTTCAGTGAACTAACTCCTGCAGAGAATCGTGCTGATTCCATTTTCCAACAACTTTGCTCTCAGGAGCTCAGACTGTGGCTCGTCTGGGACTCGGAAGGAATCAGTGAATTTGAAGATCGGGCTTTGGAAGAAATTTACCAAAGCATTGATGACAGTGACTCGGAAGATGAAGATTCAGATGACAGACGCAAGTCAAAGAAGAAGCGGGGCAAGGACAAGAAGCGAAAGCGACATTCCTCAAGCGATGAAAAGTCTGACTCTGCAATCAGTGTCTCCTCTAAGTCATCTACTAAGGCAGCCGTGGAACATACCATTCCCCATGATGCTTCTTTGAACGTCACTATCGAATTTCACGTATGTGTGCATGGGCACACATGTGATAGCAGTAAACCATTGTATGGATTTTTGAGGGTGTCCAAAGAATGTATCATGTTTGTTGCCAGATCACTGACACGAACTCTTCAAATCTGAGTTACCTCATATATTATTCTTTCTGCGAAAAAATGAATCTTGGGGGGTTGTCACTTCTTGGAATCGGATTGCTGTCACCCGGTTCTTCTCAGCACACTTTATGATATTGACAGGCAAAGAAGAAAAAGAAGAAGTCAAAGGGAAAGAAGGCTGCAAAGAAAGAGACAAAGGAAAAGAAGGAAAACCGCTTGCAGAAGGAAAAGGAGAAACACGAAAAAGATGAGTTGAGAGAAAAGGAGAAGAAAGAAAAAGAACAGATTGGAAAGGCCAAGAAGGCCAGTCTAAATCAACCCACTCTTCCATGGTGTTGTGCAGTCAAAAATCCAGTTTACTGAATAAATATGATGGTCTGTTGTATTCGTGGCATCATCCTCAATTTGAATCCATTTTGTGACATGCATGTCATGATTCGCAACAAAATTTTGCTCATACACCCAATATAATTCAACATGGCCAACCTGGCACCAGCTGTTGTACCAATTGGGCACGACATTGATCGAACCCTGTTAACAAATAACTCTAGTATGTCGATCTAGATCTATTTATTATATCTATATTATTAAAATATATAATCTACATTAGTTCCAATCCTTTCTCCCAGGTGCTCAACAGGATCAATGACAGGGTGTCCCATGCCTCGAAGAGGGCAAAGATGGTTGAAGAGATGTCGGGAACCTTGGAACAGATGATGCAGTGGCATTGCCAAAATTACTTCTGAAAATTTTGGGTATATTGAAAAAATATGTTTTTTCTCAAATAAGGGTGGACCACAAACTTTGATTACTGTGATTGACTGTATGGGACATCCTTGTTTGAGGAAACCATATTATATATAATATATTATAATGAACTTTTCCAATCGGCCTGCATATATTATATAATAAAGATTGTAATCTTTGCTTTGTGGGTAATCCCGGGTAATCCTGAGGATGGTTGGAACCTTCAAACAAACAAATTAAATTAAACCGACAATGTGAGATTTACTATTATTCAATATGTGTCCCATCCAATGTTGAACTTAATCTACAATGGTGATGCATGTTACCAACAAATTATATACTGTTAAACCGTTTGTATTATATCAATAAATCTGAGAACCTGTTGGCCTGGCTGATTGGGACCTGTGCCTGGCTATTGGTCAGTGTTTGTTTGCATGATTTTTCACCATGTGAAATTATATCTTTCATATAAAGTGTCTGGCTTAGATATGCTGGATTTCTGGTTGGGCCGATAATGAATTTATGTCTTGATTTTTATATTTTATTTGTTTGTAAAATATTTTTAGAAGATCAAAATCGATTTCTCTGGGAAGACTCAAACCACCCACATGGTATCCTTTCCCCTATGCACTTAACACAAGTTCGAGAGGTTTCCACAAACAATGGATGAATCAGGGATCAACAAGGACCGTTCAAAAACACCTTCCCCAAATTGCAAACTTAAATCAAGATTGGGTCAAAAGTAAGGATTCACCCATCATGGGTTGTGACTGTCATTTCAATTGTCTTTGGTCAATCTGAAAACTACCTGTGCAATGGGTTGAAAGAGCTGCTCATGGAATGTCAAATCACATCCTGTCCAGATCAACATGCACCAGGTCTTAACATCAATCAATGCATGGCAAAGTTATGACTTTGAATTTAATTTATGTTTTTGGAATGGTTGACTTGAATTCCATGCGTACAATCTTTCAACCACAATTCAGAAACAATTCATTTTCAGCCCTTTCTTTGGAGGTCACTGTGTGTTGGGGATCATCCAATTTATGTATATTTCATTCTGATGACAATGGGGTTTTGATTTTATGATTTTAAAGTTGATTTATGGATTACACCTACAGTCGTTCCAACACCACAACCGGCAGCCCCATCTCTCTTCCAAGTCCCGGTGCACCATCGAAGCCATTGAAGCCTGAGGCCGGTGGCATTGCGCAAGGCGATTGAGAATGAGTTGAAGACGCTTCGCAAGGACTTGATCACACAGCGTGATGAGCTCCAGTGTAAGATCGACACACAGTGTGCTACTCATCTGAATTCAAAACCTAATTGATATCAACAAGAAATGTGCATTTTCCCATCCACAATTTGTTATAAAGTTGTTCACCTGAGAAAAGTCCTGTTCTGTCTTCTATCTAGTTAAGAGGGGTCAATGATGAAATCAGAAAGAATTGATATTAGATAATTTTGTCAATGATTGGGGATCTGTGTTTTTGCCTATCCAAGATCACCTCATGAGTTCGTTGACTCAGGTTGATGGGTTGCACACGCTGGTGGAAGATGCTGAGCAGCTTGAGTCTACGTACAAAGATTTTATTGCCCGTGCTAACTTGAAGTAATTCCCAGGATGTTAGCAAGTGAAGCTTTTGGATCTTACAAATCACGTGGCAAGCTCACTTTCTGTGCCTGCATAGACTTGCATTGTGTTGAATTTGTTAGATCCTATTTGGCATTTGGCCTGCAACCTATAGATTCCACATCAAGCCACTGTTGGTTCAAATGTTTCAGATAGTACTATCTTCCATATTTCACCAAAAAAAATTGCACTTGTCATTGAAAACATGAAAAGAACAAAAAAATGAAATTGTTTTCCAACAAAGACATCCCCAGGGGAGCCAAGTAGCAGGTACAGTCATGAGAGCTTAATTGGCCACGATTCTGATTTCAATCCCCACCATGACTTATCTCAGAGAAAAGTCATTGATTTTGGTGATACGAGGTGCAAATTGCGAGGAAGAACAAAAGAAACATTAGCGGGTGTGTCATTCTGGTGCCATGTGAACACCACTAACCTGTCTACTTGGCCATCATCAACTTTTTTGGTTCTCATTCTTGATATGTTTTCCCCAGAGTAGCCAGTATCGCAGTACTATCCGTGAGTTGATCAAACTGGATTCATCCCAACGCAGGTGATGATGAGCTTGGCATGTCAGCCATGTTGGAGAACTCCATCCATGAAGTCTGTAGTGGTGTTTTTTGGATGCATTAGGCTGCATCAGATTATCGTCTTGCGTGGTTAAACCAAGATAGGCCACGCCATCATGTGATGGCGAGTCATCATGATATGTCAAACTGATATTTCCTTACAACTTTATAGTGTGTAATTTTCTTGTTGGTGCTGGACAACGTTTTCAGTATAAATCCCAATGATCATCCATGATAATAACAATTGATCCCATATATGAAAAATATATTGTATTGAGATCTAACCAACTAAGTTTTAAAACATCAAAACAATTCCCATGCTATTTAACAGGTCAACCTCTGCCCAGATGTGAGCTGAGGGCTCGACTGCTGGAAAACAGATGCGCTCGCTCAAGGCCCACTTCACTGCTCCTTGCCATCAATGGGGCCGATCAAGGTTCGGATCTTCGTTTGGGTTTTAGGATCTTCGTTCGGGTTTTAGGATGATAAACATGTTGGTTTGGATTCAGTGGATAATAAATATTGTATACTGATCTATTGAAGGTTTTTACCAAAAGTATGTGAATTATAAATTATGTCACATTTTTTTGGGGTCATCTGGAGCTATTTCACTTTCTTTTGAGACTCTTTGAAATGAAATATCCAATGAATACAACAATTGGGTGGTAACCAACAATACATGGGAAAGTCCCAACTGCATGGTCAGGACAGGTCAGCCCTGGCAATGGTCTTTGTCAAACCAGCTGACAATTTATGTGTGGTTGAGTTTTACTTGTATCATTGAACTATTCTATTCACAACCTTGTCTGCAATGACTCCCAAAAAAGGGTTGAAGATCATATAAAGGAGATGTTTGGCATGATTAGCCAGCAATCAAGAAAACATGCCGTGAACCGAATGCCAACACACAAATGATCATATGTATTAGATTAGTATGCAATTCGCAATGAATGCTTACAAGCACTGCACGTGTTTCAACAATGGCTAGTCATGCAATGTCATGCAAATGTCTTTTTTGTTACCCCGTGTTCATTCTCCAATTTGGGTATTAGGTGGGCTACTAGTGACTTTTTCATTATTTATCATGTGCGTGCCTCCCAGGATACAAAACAGGGGGTGTCCCACGACCTGACCAAGAAACTTGGTGGGATGTCTGGCAAGAACAACTCCCGGGATTGGTGGAGAACCCTGAAGAAAGGACCAGTCACTTGACCTTGGTTTCTTAGTCCCAAAGTTTTGTCTTCGATATGCCAATGCCAAATCCAGGTTAAATTGTTTTGGGGTGGAATTTAGATTTTAACAATGTATCATATTTTTTTGTGTTTTTTTGGTGGTTCATCCCAGGCCATCGAATTTATAAAGCTACCAATCAAATATGTTGACCCGGACGATGGGGTGGCCAAGTTCGAGCTCCAAGACTGGCCTGTAATGGACCCACATAGTATATCTGCTTTTTTGTTCGACGAAGCTGGCTTGCGAATCCCTACAGCAACTCTCAGGGAGTACTGGGAACACAATGCCCGGTTCCATGAACCGTGGGCACAGCAGGTGGCCCTGGGCACAATGCCCCTGGGCATATACGGGGACAGTGCTCGTGTCAGCACAAAGTTTGGGAGCACCAACCTTGTCGGTGTCTGGTTTTCTTTTCCACTCTGGAAACCATGCTCAGTTCGAGCAAGCCGCTTTTTACTCACAGTCATCCCAGATGAGAAATGCTGGAAGCACCACACCATGACTACAATCATGCGGAGAGTGACATGGAGCTTGAATTGCCTGATGGATGGAGCTCATCCAAGTGCAGGTGTGTACGGGGAGGCTCTACCAAGTCGCTTGCAGGCACTCGCAGGCAAAAAGTTCCTCTATCCATGCAAATTGGTTGAGATCAGAGGTGACTGGCAGTGGCATAAGCGCATTTGGCGCTTCTTCCAGTGCAGCTGGAACAGCCATAAAATGTGCTACATGTGCCAAGCTATGGCAGTGTCTGATGACCCAGCAGATCTGTACTGGAGGTATGAGAACAACAACTGGGAGACACAGTTTTCCTTGGAAGATTTCATAGCTGAACGTATGCCACCAACGGGGATTTGTTCCTTGTTCCAAATTATGCTTGTTCTGCTTTGATTTTCCTGAAAACTGTACTGATGGTCCATAACAAGCTTTGGGCTGTCCATGCAATGACTTTTTTCCTGTCTTGTTGGGATCTTTGTTTTGCAATCCAGGTCCCTTGCTTGGGCTTCGCCATTTCCATCCCAGCATGATCCGTTGGTGCATGATGCACGTGATTCATCTGGGGCTCCTATTCGTTTGCAATGGATCGTCCATGACTCTAGTCATGAAATGGTCATTTTTTCGTGATCGATTGTTTTCCCTGCAGGAGCTCACCAATGACCAAACACATAAGATACACTGCATCTACTATATGTCTGGGAATAAGTTTCGTCGGCTGTATGCATGCCCTAGGGTTTGGCCCCAAAAACTTGGGAAGGAATCTTCTACTTCGCTTTGGCGTCTTTGGCAACGATGCAGTCTCAGTGAATGTGAAGCTTGCCAGGGCATACAACAGATTTCGCAGATGGACTGCCCAGAACAAGATCGAATGCTCTCAGCCTCCTTTCACTGAAAAGATGGAAACTTGATTGGTTTTTGATTTTGGTGTTTGCAAATAGTCGAACAAAGAATTTCCCGGGTGTGGGCCTGTCTTGTTGTGATGGCCTTTGGACTTTGAAGATGTTTTTTTCATGTGGACTGGGCACTACAGGTAGTATATTCTTCTGGGTTGTGCTCAATTTGTCTTGTCAATTAAGATGGGCAGTCAACAGTGCACAAAATGTGACACATCAAGCACATTTGGCATCTAAGTTGTTCAAGAAGAATAGTGACATCTTGCTCACGGCGAAAGCCTACAATGGACGGGTGATTTTGCAATGGCTTTGCGAAGAAGTGCATGCGGCGAGCTTGCAAGAGGGTGCTGAAGCATTTGATCCGCGTTTCAAATTGATTTCTGCAGCAATGAACCTTTGCCACACACAACAGTTGGGCATATGCCTTTAAAGTTTTTCTGTTTGGTGTTTTACAGAGTGCCAGTCACACACTTGTGTGCTTTGATAGCAAAGCACATTTTTCTATAGATCGACACATGTGTAGGCCTATCTTGAATGGTATAGTTGTTGACTAAACATCACCCTGGATAATTACATATTATTTTGGAGCTCGAACTAAAACCACCAAAAATTGCCCCACCATGTACTCCCTGGGCCCTGTCACCTGCCGCCCTCAACTCCTCTCGTGCCAAGGATGCATATGGCCAGATTCCTTGGTGGATTGGAGCGAGCTGGCCGCTATCTGAAGCTTGGATTTTGGTCGGATTGCTGGGCAGCCATGTAGCCATAGGATATAAAATATATTACTGGTAATTTCATATATTACTACTATAGACTATTCTGGATTTCTGTGATTTTTGAATGGTACTAGTGTATTCAAAACCAAGGTGGATTGAAATATATTATTTATATGAAATATCGATCATAATTAATCTAGATCAGTTGTTATAACCCAAATATCAATTATATTCCAACACCATCTCAACATATCTCAACCATCCCTGACCTTCCACCTAACTACCCTTCGATCCTGGCCCGAGCCAGGACTTTGGATGAATCCCTTACCATTTTTGAAGATGGCTACCGCTTTTTGAAGATCTACAAGGGTCTCACATTCATGTCACTGAGGCTGGGCATTTTTTTGTATATGGAATCAGGATCCACAAGGAATTGTTTCAGAAACATTTTAACCTTCTAGCCTTGTGTCCCTATATGTTTTCAAAAAGTCAGGCTTGGTCTACAAGAACGGTTCTTACGTCCCAAATGCCATGCATCTTTGGTTGCAAAACATGATCAACACTGCTCACCCAGCCCGATGTGATGTATGTTTGGTGGACTTGTCCTTTTGATGATGGTGGTTGATTTATTGGGTTGAGTGTAATATAAATATGTTATATATTTTTTTAAAATTGTGTTACCTAGTTCATCTGAGTTCACAACTCAGGCGATGTGGCATTTGCTGGTCTCCATTCGAGACTGCAGAAACTTATACTGAAATTGGGATGTGTTTTAAAGTGATCAAACATAGCTAGGTCATTAGCAAATCTGTCAATCCCGACTTGATTGTTGTCCAATTTGGTCACCAGCCAAGCACTCTTCACAGCTGAGGATCCAATCCGCGACTGTACCACGGATTCGTGGATGAGGACGGGATGGCTTGGATAAAAGGAACCTTGTCTGTGAGAATTACATATATCATATGGGTTTACATCAGGATCCCTTGTACAGTAGATTTACATCCTATCCCCATGGGTGTGCCACTGTTTTTACTTTTTTTTCTGGCAAATTCGAGTAGAAACCTTTTAGTCTGGTCAGCCAAGGAGTGTATCTGAAAGCACATCCTAGGCAAGCAATCCGGTGGCTCATGAGGTGTGGCAAACTCAGGACCCTACTTGGCAAGATTGTGCAGCCTGGTTTGATTCCCTCTTCCTAGATGCTGACCCTAGTGAATTTGTGAGATATCTTTTGCTCACCACAAACCTTGAAAAATGGCTTGCAGGATCTGGTCATCGCATCTGAAGATCAAACAGTACCTTGATCATGGATAGAACTCGAGTCAATCTGATCTCACTTCAGATGATATCTGACTTGTTCGGATTATTTGCACCCTTGGCATTGTTTGTGAGAAAATGCCACATCTGGTCACTTGATCCAAGGTACAACAAACAGGTGGCAGAACGGCTACGCAAAAAGCGTGGTTGACTTCAACGCAAGTTAATTTGCTTGGGGACAAAAGGGCGCACCCATGGGGTAAGGGATCCTGGAAAACAAACAAAGGGGGTTCTACCAAAGCCTTTTGTTTGAGATGGTGTTGGAAGGCCAGGGTATATATATATGTATGTATGTATGTAATGTAATGTAATGTAATGTAATGCAATGCAATGCAATGCAATGTAATGTAATGTAATGTATGTATGTATAGATAGATAGATATATTTGAATATAGATTGATAATATAGTATAGATTAATGGAACTAGGATGGTGTGTAGATATGATATGTGTTCAAATTAAATACATATGTCCCAATACAAGCCTGGTTGCAACTACCATAACCAGGGTTAACTTGGGTTGCAACCCAATCTTGGCTCTAAGGGAAATGTCCTTGTATAGTTTGTACTGGTGACAAACTACCAGTGTCATTTCCTGAAGCGAGTTTTGGGATTTGTCTTTTCTTTGTTTGGAAAGAGACTGCCAGTTTTTGCAAACTACCCTGCAAACGAGGCCGCACTTCCCTCCCGCAACCTTTGATGTTTATAAAGTTGTTTGTTAAACTGTTACGTTTTGTTATCATAGCACCTCACATTGGCTTGCGTACTTCAATCCCCAATCTCTTTCGTTAAAGTCCCATAGATATTAAGTTTCAAGCCAATCCCCCATCATTCTTATGTAAATATATATATATGTGTGTGTGCATATATATATATACTTCTGTCACCATTCCCAATCCCCATCTTTTTGGCCAGCACACCCACCTCAGGTGGGTTTGGGCGCCGCCCTTCGCCTCAGTGCCTTGTCGCACGTCTCTGACCCGGCCGTGCGCGTTGCCTCGTCGTCCGTGCAGCGGAGGGCGCTGGAGGTGGCGTTGAGGCTTCAGCATTTGGCGGCGGGGTGGCTGATCTATGCCTACAATGGTGACTTGGATTTGCTGATGATACTGTGGATGGTTGCGAAATCCGATAAACCACCAATTTGGGATGGTTTTTCAATGTTTTTCAACCCTCTAAAGAATGGGATGTTTACCATCTATCAACTGGTGCAGGATTTCGCAACCATCCACAGTATTTATAGGAAAGTGATGAATCGTTATTGACACTAATAAGTGATGATTTTTTAGTGATCATCATAAATGGTCACTTATTGTTATGATATTATAAGTCACGACTTGGATTTTATCATTTTAATAGTGATGAATATCGTTATTTGTACTGATGAATGGGAAATTCATCTATCAATAGTGATTAAACATGTGAATAGAGTTGTGATTAATAATGATATTTATAGTGATGGTTATAGTGATATTGATCGTGATATTGGTAGTGATATAAGATTATAAGTTATAAGAGTGATATTATATAATGGTGATTTGCTGAAGGTGATGATCAATATAAATTTAATTGTGATTAATCTATCGATATAGTGGTTAATATAGATTAGTCATTAATTATTGTGATTAATGGTCAGCTATATGGATCAAAACCTGGATTGCTGAATATGATTATATAGTGACAATAGTGATGAATGGGACAACCATCTATTAAATGTAATTAATATTGATAGTGATTCTCTATTTCAGGAGGATAAATTGCATATTTATCTATGTAGTTGCTGGATTTGATGATGTTTGACATTTGACCATTGGTTGATCCACCAGTTGGGGAATTTATTGGGTGATCTTGGGATCAGCATGAGAATCAGCATTGACATTTTTGCTAAGTGATGTTTTGTTTGGCATTTTTTTTATTGATTATGATTGTTCGTACTATCAGTACTGCTTCTATTTTTTGTGATTGTTTTGATGATGATTCCTCTTCTCTACTTCTCCTGCCGAGTATGGTCAGGATAGAACAGGATATATTTGGGCAAAGCTGAATGAGAAGTAGTTGAATGTGGAATTTACCCATAACTTATGTGACCAGAATGGGAAGACTAAAACAGAACACCCCACGAACTGGGTGAGGATACTCGGATACCCCAACCTCTCGGGGGTCCGTGCTGTTGATGGAAGTATCATGAAGTATCATGAAATCATGAACTGCAACTAGATTTGGACATATAAACTTGGATCATCTTGGATCTGGGTGTGTCTGAAAACTTGGATCAACTACCCCCAATTTTTTCATCAAAAACATCAGCATTCTATTCATGATCATGGTGATGAACCCACGGATTTTCAGGGATGTCGCCTATGTTCAACCAACCCCTTCTGATTCTCTATGGCACCGTAGCGGTTTTTAGCACCGGTCACGACTCACGACCCAAAAAGGTCCGGCACGACATCGGGACGCCTTCATTGACTCCTCGCCGTGGCCGATCAACTCAGCGCACTTTGGGGACGAGCATCGCTGCCTGACGGAGCACCCGGCAGTGAGATTTTTGTTGGAAGACCCCACTTACCTGGGCAAACATCATCACAATCCATTTGTATATGGGAAATATATGGGATATTATGGCATAGACATAGATAAACATAGATAAACCACTTAGTGGACTTAGTGACCGTTGGTAATCAGGGTTGGTAATCAGGCTTGGTAATCAGGCTTGGTAACCAGTTGCTTGGCTGAATAATCCTCCAGTTTCGGGGAGAGGCTTCCCCCGCAGAAGATAGCGCTTGAAATGATTGCGTCCAACATAGATTCCAGAACGGGAACTTTTCATGGGGGACACTGCATTTCCCAGCCATTTAGGACCTTAGGAACTAGAAAGGTCTAGAAAGTCTACGGACGTCAAAGTCAAAGTATCCATGAAAGCAAAGTTTCCTTTCGGTCATGTACTATAGCAATTTTTGCTGGGTAAGCACAGGGTCTACCCAGAGATCTCAGCTCAGCTGGATATTTTTCCAATTTTGCCAAGCAGACTTCTCCAATCATGGACCAAAGTCCTAGCACTCGGATGGGCCATAGACTTTGTAGGCTGGTGATCGTAGCTGGGGTTTGACCTTGAATTACTGATCCAGAACAGACAGCTCAGACAAGGAGACCTTATGGCCATGGAGAGAGAGAGAGAGAGAGAGATTTGCTGACCAAATTAAACTCCGCGAATCAAACATTGCATTTATGATGACTTGCTATATCCGGCATTTATAGATGATTTTCTGATATGTTCACATTAAAACCTCCATTTACCCTCTGGTAAACTAACATAGCTATGGAAAATCACAATTTTTGATGGGAAAATCCACTATAAATGGCAATTTTCAATAGTTATGTTACAAATTACCAGAGGGTATTTGGGATTTCCATGGCCCATCAATGCCAAAAACCCATGTGTTTCTTCCAAGGCTCAGTCGCCGCGCTCTTGCAGCAGCTCACGAGCAACGAGAAAACTCTGTCCGATGGACCGGGACGGCGGGCATCGGTGGTGATGGCCACGTGGTGATTCGCTAAGGGTTGGGGGGTGGTGTGAAAATGGTGGATTTACCCTCTGGTAATTTAACATAGCTATTGAAAATGGCCATTTATAGTGGATTTTCCCATTAAACATGGTGATTTTCCACAGTTATGTTAGTTTACCAGAGGGTACCATCAAAATATGGAGGTTTAAGATGGTTTGAATATGGTTAACCTCCCAAAATGGAGATTTTACATGGTTTTACATGATTTAACTTATGGGCATGTCTGCAATTGGTGCATACCCCCACAGGGATAGTGATGATTAACGAGTGAATTGAGGGGTACCGTATGTTCGGATACACCCATGCTTGGAAACAGGGGGACTACGAATGACGGATTTGTGTGGATTTAACATGATTTAACAGTAAATTGCCGATGATTCCAGCATTTGTGATTAAATTATATTTAATTTATGAGGCTATGTAAGAATGGGACACACAGAGCAAAATAGAATGAGGTGAACCACTTTCACTTTCACTTGGTGAGGGGTACTTTTACCCGTCCAGCAATCAGATATGGCTGTGTTCCCTTTTTTAATCAGTAAGTCAGCGGTAACTTTGAATATCAGCGTTTAAATGTTCGTTGCCTTTCCGGGGGCTTCCGTGATGTTTTTTTGTTTTAACACCATAAATTATTTTACCTAAGCTGCTGGAAAGAAACGCTCCTTCAAAGATCAATAGCCACTTCAACATGAACCCCTGAACAACATTCATGATCCCTTTATTACTTATTAGGTGCTTTCTATACATCTTTCTACCCTCCCAAATAATAGATTTCCCGGTAGAAAAAAAACCTAAGAACAAGTAACATGTTTCATGGACAATAGCCATAGGTATGCCATGGCTGGGTCGACTCCCGATGCAGCCACGACCCGCACCTAAGGTGACTGTCTGTGACTACCCCGAGACCTCCATGCTCCCGCGCTTGGCTGCCTTCGTGCACGGAGTCTATGCGCAGCGTCATGGTCACCTGGTGAGGGTGAAGGGGTGACCCTTAGATTCCTGGGGAGCCAAGTCACCACAATTTCCTGCCGTTCTTGTTGGGTGTAATTAAATATATATCTACAATGTGAGGCCCCCAAGATAGCTAAGTTGGTTTATAACTCCAATAACTGTGGTTTATGGTACTTATAACTATACTTACTGGGGCTTATAAACCAACTTATAACTGGGGGGCCTCACATTGTACCAGTTAACTCCTAGTTCGAGGCCAGCTGCCCGCTCCCTGGGACCTAGGTTATGCCTACCGCCATCATCGCCATTCACGGCATGCCGCTGATCGCCCGGCTGCCTGGGGAAAGGTGGCGGCGATGCAAGAGGCATTGCAGGATGCTGGGGGGGTTCAGAATCTGCTGCAAAATGAGGGATTTGTATGGATTTGTGGGATTTATCAATCAACCAAGCTGGATGATTAACCAATAATAATGATGATTAATAATAATAATAATAATAATAAATAATAACAATAATAATACCCTCTGGTAAATAAACATAGACCCCGAAAACAATGAAATTCTATTTGAAACTAGTCTTCCAACCCCCATTTGCCAGGGTCTATGTTAATTTACCAGAGGGTAGGGCTTTGTGGGATTTATCAACCAAGCTGGAGTTATTTGGAAACTTCATCATCGGATATATTCATATTTATCGATGAACGGTGAAAGTATTGAACTTATTGAACCATCAAAAATTGGAATGTGTTTCTCCAGAGGAGCCATAACTAACTAGTACTGTATGGACTGTATGGGTAGATGTTTGACCCTTCCACCCGCATCTGGCGGTGTTTCCTGAAAGACTCCAAGATTGAAGATGGAAGCTGCAGCAGTTGGATAGGATTCAAGTTGGATCAACTGACAACCCAAAAAAGGTCCCCTTTGGATCTTTGGGGTCCAACCCTGAAGCCCCGCAGGAGGGCTGGGATTGGGCTATTTGGGTGGACTGTGATTTGCCTCTGGGACTTTTTTGGTGGTCCATGGGTGGCAAATCAGCGGGATCCTGCAGTGCTGCAGCCATAGTTGCTGCTAATCATGATGCAGTAATAGTTGCAGCGATACGGATGTTGGGGGATGTAACAGTGATGAAGATGGATGTTGTGGGCTTTTTGGGGTTGTACTACGTTGTACTACTGTACCTTATGAATTGATATCTAGAAGGATATCATGGACTTTGGGGGCTTTTGGCTGTTTAAAATCAGTTTATGGTTGGCCAGGGAGAAGGATTGTCACCATATAATCTACTGCGGAAAAGCAGGGATATCTCCATTTTTGTGGGAAACAATATATGTTCTATTGATTTCCCCGTTCCGGGTGGAAAGCAGTGTCAAAATTACCTAAGGAACACACTAGGAATATCTGGGAGCGCTGCCAAAAGCCCAGAGGTTTTTCATGGACCTCAATAAGAGCCTGGAGTCTCTTTTGCCGGAAAGCGATGATGGAGTGAAGATGGTCATCACCGAAGATGCTCAAACTTTGAATACGGCCGCCCGGCATCAGCTGGGTCAGAATTTGCTCAGTTTGCTCGCTGGATCGGGATCGTGTTGGCCAATTTTGCTGTTTCATCGCTGTGACTTCAGTTGAAAGCACATCAACATTCGTGGTGGTGGTTCGACGCATTTACTTCCTCCATTTTCCTCCCCCTATCATGCAGACAGCAGTATTTCATCTGGATTTGCTGCTGGCAATTCCGTTCTCAATTCTCCATGATGTTTTGCTTACACGTTATTAACCGAAGCTAGTTGGGTAGGCTTGATTTTCTGCTCAACTGCAGCTGGAGGCCATTTTTTTCATGCGTCGATCTCAGTGGAGCTTGAGGCTCTTAGAGAAGGCACCACGGGGCCCTGGATGTGGATGGATGTGGATGGAGATCAAATCCTCCAAGAGCAGGGATTAAAGCCACGATTTTCAGGCTGGTTTCGCTTCAAGTATTGTTTTCCCTTTTGCCTGAGACAATGATCTCAGCTTCCTTGGTTTAGTTGCCAAGCAAACCAGGGAAGGAGTTCAAAGCACGAATGAGGTAGAGAAAGATTCATAGGTTTGTTTGGTTTGCATAGCCCAGTCTAGAGTTTTTGAGGGAGGGCTATTTAAGAAAGATGCTGTACCACTAATTGTTAGTTTTGCAATTTAGGCTTGCAATGGTTTGCGTTGTTTCTTCCTGCCTACCCAACATGTTATTATTGTTTAATTCGACTCGGTTCGAGAATTTAAACTTTCATCATATTGTTTGATACCCTTTAAGGATATAATTTAACATAGCTACTAGTATGGAACATCACCATTATTTTTAGGTAAAACATCGAACTAAATGGGCCATCTATACCATAGCTACTGTATCTTCAATTACCAGAGGTTGTCTTCTGATTCAATGTTATGCGGTATATCGGAGGGTATTTTTTCATTATTCAATATGCTAGGCTATTCAAAATGTGTTTTGAAATTACCAGAGGCTATCTTTAAACTATTGATGATCATATAATAGTTATAATTAAGTTACACACTCACCAAAAAAATATATATATATATATACACTATACATACGTTTGCCAACGTTCATTATACCTTAAGTAAGCCACGCGTTTTTTTGTTTTTTACCAATCCCTGACCAGGTTTGGGGTGGTGAAAGCTCCGCCTTCGTTGACCACACCTGGTGGGAACAGCAGGCCTTCGCACAGGAACTGCTGGGCGCTCTGGCCAAGCGCTGCGCAACGCTGAGGCGGGCCACGGAGGTCCGAGGTCACCGACGAAGAGTTTGCGAACTGGAGAATCACCATCTTTCAATAGGATTCAAGTTCGGTACATCAACGATTTCTATTAGTGCAATTTTCAATAAATTACCAGAGGGTGATTTAAGTATGATTTCATAGGATTTATGGTGAATCATGGAGGTATGTAGTGGATATTTTTTAGTATCCAGCGGTTAGAAGGGAGCAGATTAGAGCTGGGGAAGCCATATTCTCTAAAATGTTGCTTAAGAGTTCCCCAACCACATGATAGTTTTGCCATGGGCAACTACAATGAGATGGGAGTTTTTAAGATATTTGTGGATGGGACTGTAATGGGATATCATGGGAATCGCTATATAATGGGATATGAATAGGATATGATCGTCGGATTTATCAAGAATTTAAGTAACCGTAACGGGAATATCTTGGAATGAAATCCAACAATCTGATATATGAGGGTGCAATGATACTCATAAATAAAAGTAGCGCTTTAACGTCTAATGAGGCACCATCATGCTGTGGGGTACCCTATTTGCAGACAAAGCCATGTCTGGAGGGTGACAAGTGTGGCGTTCACATATGGGAACGCATCAATGGGATGACGTAGGGATGACTTGTTGAAAACAGCGTTGACTATGGGGAAAACACGAAAGGGCCAGTGAGGGATGACTTTCACTTCTACCTGTACATTTTTTGGGTAACGGAATGTCTGTTGTGTTCTGTATATATGGTTTATAGTGAGCTTTGTGGACTATTTTGTGCGATTTGGAGTTTTGTGAGGGTTTCAATCACAGCAGCTGATGGGGAGATGAACACCCTGACAGCGAAGATCAATTTATTCCCCAAACAGTGTGTCCACACTGAGGGGTTCTTACGGTAGGTGTAAAGGCCGGTGCTTGATCAGGGTGCTCCATCTGGGCCCCGGCATTTGTTGTTCAAAAAGTCTTGATTCACACATCAAACACCTTGTTTGATTCGCTGATTCTTCCAATTTCCTGACCCCAATGATGATAATTAATGATGTAGCCCCATTAGTTATACTGTAGTAACTATAATAGCTAGTACCTTCTGGTAAACATACAGAAAACGATGGAAAATCACAATTGTCAATCGGAAAAATCAACTATTTCCATGGCCATTTTCAATAGCTATTTTGACATAACCAGAGGGTAATAACCCCAGAATCAACCAGAGGCTTCCCCACCGGTGATGCAAATCTTGGGCCCAGGGGACCCAGGTACGAAGCCGGGGCGGTTTACAATGGAAGCCACCAAGTAGACCCAGGTGCCGTCCAGGGTGTGAATTGATGGACCGGGTGATGGGTGGCACCAAATGGTCAGTTAATCAGTTGATGAATTATATATGGTGAACATATGGTGAACTATGTCAGAATATGGTGAATTTCTAGCGCATGAGGTTTTTTTTTTGGGTGACTACCTGAAATTTCAATGTCAATGGTCTATGGTAATCAAGGAATATTCGTTGACTTGCTGGTGGAGGTTGATTCCTTGGCCATGTTCTGGCCACTGATGGAGGCATGTTCAGATTTAATCCACACTAGTGTGCTTTGATCCACTGGTTGCTCATCCCAAATGCTCCATGGTGCTGGAATATTTACCTACATTTACCCCACTTAAATGGCTCAGTTATGTAGGTACATATTCCAGCACCATGGGTTGCATCTGGGCATTTGTGCCTGGGTGAAAACCTCTTGGATTTAAAAAAAAAGCGGAGAATGAACACCTAAGATTCCCATATGTTTTCGCTGGTAAAATCCCTCAATTTGTTGTGCGTCAAAAATCCAACATTAGAGGATGAAACTGGTTGCAGGACAACGGTGACAACCATTTCAACAAATCACCTCCATATTTCCCAACATCGTTGTTTCCATTTCAGGATTTTCAGGCTTGAAATATGTTGAAATATCAGATGACCATAGATAAATTGCATTTATAACCTCAATTTCCAAGGGTTTTTCCCAAGAAAAACCAGCTGCAGACCCGGCAGGTGACGCCTTGGTGTATCCGCCGGAGGTCCATGTTTTGGCGCAGAGGGAGATGATGCTTGGTGCTGACCGATGGGTTGGTCACAGCTTGGCGGAAACGGCGGGAAACTGTGGAAAACTCCAGGGAAAACACATGGATGGTAGGCCAACTGCCATGTTCATTTGGAAAATGTGGCACAATATTCATGATATTTCATGATGAACTTTATTTTGTGGCAATTTTACTGGGGACCATGTGGGAATACTATGATCAAGCATGAGATGCAGGTGGTTCTATGGCAAGTTTATTGAATTAGATTTTTTCATGGGGAAAACCGGGGGATGATGATCACCCGTTGGATTTTGGAATGTCCTACAGTATTTGACAGAAAGGACAATTTCACCAGCAGAAAAGTGGATCTGAATGTATAGACATGTGCAACAAAAGGGATAGTAACTGTTTTTGATGAGTAGGATATTTTTTTGGATTATGTAATGGTTGACGAGCTGGGATCAAGCCCGCCTGAGTGTATAAACATTTATAAACAGCCGACATGCCGAACATGAGGTAGGTGAGTTATTCTGTGGGATATATATATATATCCTCCGGTAATCAAGCAATGAAAAATCAAACATAGTAAAATGATCTGGGTAAATTATAACGACCTCACTGCGACCTCACTGGAATCATGGTTAGTAAGAGGAATCATCCCAAAATGGCCTTAATTCAGGTTAGTCAAATATTATAATTTACCCAGAATGACGTAAAATGGACCATTTCCCATTTTTAGATGATGTTTATTTATCTTCCCAGCTCTAAAGCTTCATTTCGTTCAGGGGATTTCCCTGCCATGTTGGATGACACCGGAGGTAAAATTTTGTCAGTTGAATCATCCATCGAAAGCTGGAAATGGAGTAGCTCGCTTTCGTTGATTCATTTGGGATTCCTTTGGATTTCAATGGCCATTCCAGGAACCGATTTATTGGAGGTACCATATAGAAGGCCTATTTTTTAGGCCTATGTAAGGGAATATCCCCACAAAATATGGCCTTATATGGTACAGTACCTCCATTTTAGGATCATGAAATTCCCATTGATTATTTCATGTTGGTAAAACAATCATAAACCATCCATGACTGGGAATGGTAACCATACCACCCATGAAAATGGTGATGACTGGGGGATGGTTTATGATTGTTTTACCCACATTACTAGTCACATTACTATTATTGCAACAGATTCAACCGGAATTTGGATGAGATTGGTTCATTTTACGGGTATCTTCCTGGGCCCATTTTTTCCAGGAATTCGTACCATCCCATCTCCTCGCGGTTGGTGGGCGAAACCTGGGAACCAGGCGCGGCCCCAGTTATAAGATGGTTTATAAACCCCAGTAACTATAGTTATAGGTACCATAAACCATAGTTATTGGAGTTATAAACCAACTTAGCTATTTTTGTTGGTCACCCATTTTATCCTATATATCCCCGTACTTGTTTGGCGTAAAAAACTGCCGGGTCCTCCAGGTTATTGCTGTGCCAATGTCATAGTTTGCACAGCCACAATAGGGACGTTGCGTTTGGAACCAACAGATTGGCACGAAGGGACCTGCCTAAAGGGACCTGCCTGCTTTGGAGGCAAGTTCATTTTATCCTTCAACGGGGCACCTTGGTGACAAAAGTGCCAGGGGTGTGTGGTGTTCCTGCTCTCACCTGGGATGATGATGCCATTGGCAGACTGGTTGCACCCCTTGCATGCTTAGATACAAAACAACCATTGTAATTTTAGAATTTATGCAGAGATGTCATGCCGGATTTGGGTGCCAATTTGGGTGCATAAGGCTTCCCAGCCGCGATGAAGGTAGAACTTGGTTTGGCCCCAGTGCCTCTATGGAGGATCATCCCAGTTCATATCCGATTCACGAAGTGGGGTCGTCCCCCCATGTCAAAGTTGTACCTATTGGGGATGATCACTATGGTGTAATATACCTACTTACCGTAATATACCTTTGGTCCCTTTGAACGTGGGATGATGCTCCAAGGAAAGCATCCTCAAAGGATGAACCAGGACATGTGGCACTCAGCCTCATGTCCGAATATATACTTGTTGATAGGGTTACTCCGAGGTGAATCGATGAAATACATTGAGATACTAAATAAAAACGATGTTTCTATGGGGTGTTTATTGTCATTTCAGATGGAAGACATCAGGTAGATGCGATGCAAGACTGGGGTGGATATGGCAAGGTCATATACACCCATCAATAGGCTGTTTAGGTAGAGCAATCTCTAATTGTTCTTAGGTGACCCTGCCCTGTACAAGGCATCTTCCCGTCCTACTGTGTGAATCGTGTGAAGTGTTTGCAGGAAGAATGGAGGACCCATGGGCATTGCCTTCATGGGTCCTCCCTTGGTTGTCCCACTTTATGGTTGGATGATTCTTTGTTGAACATAGCACTATGATGGCCGTGGGCGACCTGGGCATACCTGGGCGACCTAGCGGGGACATCCAGTGGGTTCCAGTGGTCCCCAAATCATCCGTGGCCAGGTAAAATCACTTTCTGGCCCCACGGTTGCCGACGTCCTGCATGCCACCTGGTGCCACATGGTGCGTCAAGGATCCCATCGGAAACCGGCAATTGGATGCTGTAAGATGTGGGGGTTGGAGAACTCAAGATCCCCATAGATTTTTTCCCGTATCAATGAATATTCCAATACTATTCCTATCCATTGTTAGCACGTCTCCATTCATGTTTGGTCAATTGTTTTGGGGGGGATTGTTTGACAAAGTGGGTTCATTAACCCATTCTGACACATCCAACTATCGAATATATATATATATAACATTATATATATATGCAGCATAAACCCAAGAACTTACCCTGTCAGAAGGTGGAAGAACCCAATTTCAATCCCCTGTTTTTTTTTGGGGGACCGAGGTGAACTACTTTGAGGTCTTTTGTCAGCTGAATGACTTGGAAGATCGGTGCAAAGACGCTATGGCTGATCAGTGAGGGCCTGGCAGTGGTTGTGGGGTCCTGGGGCCAGCGGATCGCTAAAAAAAAACATGCCATAGGGGCTATTTTTGGAGACCAAATCCATCCAAATCCACATAAATCTACCCAAATCCACTATATGTCATTCATGGGTCTATAGTTATGGATCACCTATATATAGTTAATAATTCTAAAGTCCCATATTTAAAGATATTTATAAAGTGTGTCCATCTACCCTCTGGTAAAGTACCCTCTGGTAAACTAACATAGCTATTGAAAATGATCATTTATAGTTGATTTTCCAATTGAACATGGTGATTTTCCATAGTTATGTTAGTTTACCAGAGGGTAAAACGTGGAACTGGTGCCCGGCACGAGGATGTCCTGGCCGAGGAGGAGCGTTGGATGCTGATGGCACCCTGGGAAAAAATGGCGGAAAGCGGCCCCAGGTGGTGGGTTGATACCCTAGGGCCAACATGGGTCAACATGGGTAAACGCGCAAAAAGATATGGAAAAACCATGAAACCCAAATGGAAAAGAATCTACAAATGGTGGGTTTCTATGGTTTTCTACACCTAATTTAATGTTAGTTTATAGGAGGGTAGCTGGAAAACTCTTCCTGAAAGTTGGTCCAAGGGGAACATCAACCCGAAAACAATCCACACAGTGTGGGGATGTTTGGTTATTTTCAGTGTACGCTGAGTTGAGAATGAGAACCTTTCTTTGGGGCACCAGTGTCCCTAACTGATGGGATCATAGATTAGGGTTGAATTATAAGGACACCACAACATCGCCATATGATTAGTCAAAGGACTCTTCTTCGAAAAATTATCCAAGAACAGCCTCGCTTCAAAATGTGGTTCGCTGAGTCTGCATATCTCAGCCTGAAAATGCCTGAAAAGCAGGGTACCTCAATATCCAGTGGAGTCATCAGCTTTTTCCCTGTGAAAATGCATCGGGTAGACACCCCCAAATGGTAGAAAGATTGTTCTTCATTCCGCCACCTGCCTGAGACAGAGCCGCAGGCCTTGCCAGCCTTGGATGAGTACTTGAGCCTCTTCTCTGAGCAACTTGGTGGAAGATGGTGCTTGCGGTTATGAATTGCTTCTGAATAGACTTTTCTTTGGTAGGTTTCAGTCATGGTTGATTTTGATCTTTCAACTAAGTGTCTTATTTGACTTCCATAAGTGGAAGAATATGAGGAGGCGTGCTTGCAGGATGCCATGATTTTGCTGGCAATGTTCATTATGTTCGTGGATGTGTTTTCTTCTATGTTGCACCCAAACTGAGATTATACGTCCCAATTAAATGTTATTTTATGATCATTGAATCATATCCGAACCCATGGGGTTTACTAATAACAGCGCATATTTACATAATATATATTATAGTAACATCACTATGCACACACACACATATTATTAACCCCCAAAAAGATCGAACAGTAATTCGGCCACTACTACTTGTGGAGGCTTCGCGCGTCAAACCGCCCAGGTATGAAGAGCTGTTGAAGTTGGAACCAGCAGCTTTCGTGCAAAGCAAGGCAGGGAACTCGGGAAGCTCCAATCCAGTACGAAGATCGATGGGGATGACGACGGATGATGAGCAGTGAAAGGAAGGGGGTCAAATGCTGACCCATACTACCAAGGTACAGTACATGCCATATCTTATTTGGTGGTGACTGGAACATGGCTTTTATGACTTTTTATAAATTTGGAACGGATTAATCATCCCAACTGACGAAGTCCATCATTTTTGAGAGGGGTAGGTCAACTACCAACCAGATTATGATTAACCATCATTAACCATATATTAACCATATAATAGCCATATATCAATGATTCCAAAGGATAGGGTGTTTTCACATGATCAACCAATAGGAAACCATATGGCAGCTCCATCCCCGGGTATTTTTTTTGGGGGGATCATTGGGAAAATGCCCAAAAAATTTGGAAAATGCAAAAAAAAATGGGAAACTGATGTTAACTTAAATGAACTTCCATATCATTCTTGATGTGAAATGTCCCCAATCTAGATCGCCAAACCGCAACTTCAATAATTACACACATTGACTGCGCTTGCAATTTTCACCCAAGAAGATTCCATCATACGACCACTCAAACTCAAATTTCATTGCATGTCAACTTCAGTGCTTAGTTTCTGCCAGTCATAACTTCCTGCCAGTTCCATGATGTTCCATCCATTTTCCATCCATTTCTCCATATTTCCCCTCATCCTGGAGCTGTTTTTTTCCAGGCCCCCAGGGGCCACCAGGGGCCACCATGGCCACGCCACGGCAGGTGGATGCCGAGATCACCACCGGTGAGGCCAAGCAGTGCATCCTGGAGCAGGTGGAGAAGGAATCGGAGGCCGACTTCGCCACATCTTTCCTTGTTGGTCAATGTCAGTTGAACATGTTTTTTAGCATCCGTGTATAATATTGTATAGTAATATATGATCATATATGATCATATATGATCATATATATGATCATATATATATATATATTTATGATTATTTATATGTATGTTGGTGGTGAATATGTCGATGAGACGAAGTTTCTGATGAAAGATGTGGTGAACACTTTTGCATTTGTTTGGATGTTGATGAAACATGATGAAAGAAAGACGGCATGGAACTGGCATGTTTTGGGGTTAAGGACGGTTCAGCACCAAGTCCAAGATAACCTCCGGGGTCATCAGCTCCATGGCTAGCTGGAAAATCAACCATGTCATTCGATGATTTTCCCATTGAAACTTTCATTTATGGGGGATTTCCCATTGCCTTGTTTGGTGACACTGGAGGGTATCCACCATTTTCCGAGAATTTCCGAATCATAGATTCATTGGTTCACATTGAACATCAACGCAACCTCATTAAATTACCAATAGTTGGTTAAACCCAATGGTCTTAACTTGATAAATTAACTATCCAGTGGTTAGGAGGGAGATAACGAGCTAGGGGTATCCATATTCCCTATAATTTCCAAAATGGGGAACAAAGGAACTACTAAGAGTTCCCCAACCACATGATAGCTAAGGTTTAAGAGGGTTGTAACTATGAACAGGTAATCGGGTTTATAAGCCAAATAATCCCCACAAATCCATATACTGATTGGTGGTTTAAGTTTGGAACATGTTTTATATTTTTTAATGACTTTCCATATTAATTGGGAATGTCATCATCCCAACTGACGAACTCATATTGTTCAGAGGGGTAGGTCAACCACCAATGCAGATATCCAGGTCCCCCAAATCTCCAGGTCCTCGCTTCAATCCCGGAGTCGGTGGTCATTGGACTCTTCGAGGTCTTGTGGATTTTGACGGCTGGTTGAGCTGGTAAGGAACACGGCATGAAATACATTGGAAAGGTCCATGAAAATCATGAAATGACCATTTTCGTTGGGTGAAATGACATGTTTTAAAGTTTTGGAGGGTGAGAGTTGTTGTTGAGAGATGGCAGGGCAGGAGTGGGATGCTGCTTTCCAAGTTGAGAGGAACTATCCAACACATAGCGATATATATATATATATAATTGTTATATATGAAATATATATATATATTTTTGTGGGGTCAAATTTTCGCGACCTCATTTAAAAGCAGATAATTTCGAGTAATCCATCCCAGTAACCAACCATTGGATCATTGGGGTCATCTTGGATCATCCCAGCCTTGGCAGGTCTCATGTCAGGAGATTCGCAAGAGCTGGGGAGCCTGGAATGGTTGGGGCACGGTGGAAGACTAGGATTGTTCCATTCGGAAACAGGCCCAACCAGATAAGACAAGAACTCAACTGGGCTACAGTCCATTGTTCCATGACTGTTCCATTGGGAAACATGCCCGACTAACATTGACTAACCATAGACAGGTGAACGGTGAACGGTCGGGGGGATCAGGGGTCCCGGGGAAAAAACACCTCTCACAGGCTTGGCAGGAAAGCACCGGCACGGAAGCCCAAAGACAGGGGAGACGAATGGCTAATTGCAAGTGGGTTACAACATGTTAAAGCAATAATAAACCACCCATTTGGGAATGGTTTTTACCACCTATTTATGGTGAAATGGGGGATGGTTTATCAGTGTTTTACCAACATTATTCATTATATTTCCATATAGTCCCATCCCCCAAATATGATACACCCTCATTCCATGGTCCCAATGTAAATCATTGTAAATCCCTATGTATCATTAAACGACGGTTTCTGAGAGGGCGTTTAAGATAAACATTGGGGATGGGATTATATAAATAGGGATTAAATATGTGCATTCAACCTTTGACAAAAAACCAGGGAACCATGGGGTTCTAAGGTTTGCCATGTCGAGTCGTGTTGAGGATCAGTTTTAGGGGCCGGGTGGGATGAATCGTCCATGCTTGAGTCGTTTCCGAAATCAATTCTGGTAGCTGAAACTGAGAACTGTTTCAAGGCACCAAAAGCGAGGTAAACCTTGGTGGGTTGCAGTAGTGTTTTCTTTGTTGGCAACAATTTGGGGGCTTGGAGAATAATATATTCCCACTAAGTAGCCACAACCATAGCTAACGAGCCAACTT